TATCTGCCAAAGACTCCTGATGCCTCACTAAACTACAACTCCCAGGATTCCATAGCAGTTTGACAGAACTTTAACTGCCATGGTTCAGTATTGTGGAATCCTGGGATTTATAGTTTGGTGAGGTATTGGCAAAGAAGGCTAATAAAGACCTTGTGAAGCTACAACTCCCAGAAGTCCAAGCATTTGAGCCATGGCAGTTAGAAAGAAATAAACTTGGGATACTACAAAGGTTCACACAGGAAGCCCCTCCTCATCTGGAGAGGTTAGGGACCAGAACACTGTCAGAAAGTGGAATCCAGGTTATTTAACTTGTAGATGCATTTTGGCTGTCAAAAAACAAAAATTGTACATTCTTTTTCATGCCTTCAAAAATGACTCAAAGAAGTCTTCTCTCTGTGTAGGCAGGCCTTCGGACATGTGCACAAGCCATCCCATCAGATTAAAGGAATTTATATGCAATTTGCAAGCACTGAAAGAATGAGACATCAAAAGCTGGGGGAAGTGTGTTGCTGTTGCTGGTCATAGGATTTTTGTGGGCTGAATTTATGCTAAATAAAACTTGATAGTTCTTTTAAGTGCAAATAAGATTACTTGCTTATTCTATTGCAACAGATTGCATGCCCTTCCCATTCAAAATTCCTGCTGAGTTAGAGTTTTAGATGATAAAAAGAGTTGAGTACAAGGAATGTTGACAGGTCTGGCTGTTGTTGCGGGGTGCACAGAGAAATGCATATCCCTGATCTGAAATGCTTTGGACTAGACATATTGTTAATCATTTTGTACATGAAACAAAGTTTGGATACATTGAACCCACCAGAAAGGAAAGGGGTAATTATTTCAGCCACCCATGCGAACAATTTCATAATTTTGAAGTGTTTTAGATTTCCAGAAAAGGAAGTTCAACTTGTATGCCTGAAAATGTAAGACTTGGAATTGTCTGGTGCTATTTTCTGGAAAAGCAAACACATGTGACAAAATTCATATGTCATATTTACTCCTAAGTTAATTCAACCTATTTGGAAAATCTTTTCCTGATAATATCCTCCTTTTTTATGAATGGATTTGGAACACAAGAGGCAAACTCATCGAAAAATGGATAACTCCTCCTATACACCATGGTTCCATATCTCCTCTGTCTCATGTTTTTTGTGAGGGTTTGCCTTTTAAATACAAGCATACAATTTGCTTTGAACACTTTCCTGTATCTTTTTCGTAGTTAAATCCAGATCTGCTTTCAAGCTTCTATTGTCAAGGAGTTATGGGAATAATGTGACTCACCAGAGGTTGCTGAAGTATAGTCCTTGGCATTCAACATCATCGGCTGTGTTGGCTTGGGCTGCTAGGAACTGCAGTTCAAGAATATGTGGAAGACCACATGATCCTCCTCTTGCATCCCAAAAATAACATTTGCAGGAACTGCCAGCCTTTTGTTTTTGCCGTACTAGCTATTACTAATGCAGATTATCAATCTGTATAATGGAGTTGGGAAATCTATGGCCTTCTAGACAGTATTACATGGCAATTCCTTTTAGTCCAATCTAATACAGCAAATGATAGGGCTGATGGGAGGGGGAGGACCACAACAACTAAGGAAATATCTGGAAGGCTACATCTGTAGTGCGCATGTGCGGGTGAGGGAGAGCATGTAAAGTGGGAGGGAGGCTTATGCCAGTGAGTCCCTTCAAGGTACGGGGGCTCTGTGTAGAAAGTTTGGCCCAATTCTATCATTGGTAGGTTCAAAATGCTCTTTGAATGTAGGTGAACTATAAATCCCAGCAAGTACAACTCTCAGATATCAATGACTATTTTCCCCAAACGCCACCAGTGTTCACATTTGGGCATATTGAGTATTCATGCAAAGTTTGGTCCAGATCTATCATTGTTTGAGTCCACAGTGCTCTCTGGGTGTAGGTGAACTACAACTCCAACTCAAGGTCAGTGCCCACCAAACCTTTCCAGTATTTTCTGTTAGCCATGGGAGTTCTGTGTGCCAAGTTTGGTTCCATTCCATTATTGGTGGAGTTCAGAATGCTCTTTGATTGTAGGTGAACTATAAATCCCAGCAACTACAACTCCTAAATGACAAAATCAGCCCCCCACCAGTGTTCAGATTTTTGGCGTATCTGGTATTTGTGCCAAATTTGGTCCAGTGAATAAAAATACACCCTACATTACAATCCATAACAGTAGCAAAATTACAGTTAGGAAGTAGCAATGAAAATAATTTTATAGTTGAGGGTCACGACAACACGAGGAACTGCATTAAGGGGTTGCAGCATTAGGAAGGTTGAGAAACACTGTTCTAGAAAGTACTGCAGCCCTTGATAATATGGAATGTGTTCAGATTATCTGTCAAAGAAATCCCATCCTTTGAATTGCTGCCCATAGCTGTTGCTTCCTGTTGAGCAATAGGGTTTTAAATGCTTAAAGGGACTTGAGGTTGAGCAGCTCTCTAATGCATTCATTTTACATAATGGAGTTGACAATGTCTCTTTCAAAGTGGGTTGTGCTAGGGGACCAACAATAAAGATATGCTTAGAGAGCTAAAGAATAAATGTGTGGAATTACTGCACACTAGGTGGTATTTCTTACACTGTTACCAATGTACTTTGAAAATGAGCTACAAAACTAGGTAAAAAGTGGTTGTCATTCCATGCTCTCTCCTTTCAGAAGGCACTGAATTAGTGTATGGGACTAGACTAAGCAGTGTTCCCCACCTCATTTCTGGAGGGACTTTTCCTTATGTTTTATATTGAACTGACTGATATCCTTGATATAATATGGGAAGGTAGATCAGGTCAGTTAGTTTTGACTAGATAAGAAGTGAAAAAATTTAAATGTACAAACGGATTCGCTTTCCTACAGTCTTGGTTCAGGGAAAACTGAGCCATCCATTGAGTCCCCCCGGGGAGATAGGGCAGCTTACAAATAAAGTATTATTATTATCCTTGCGATTTTAAAGGATATGAATCTTCCTTCATTCTGCTCAGAAAATTGAAGAGCAAGGAAGGAGAGATACATGTTTCTGCATTTTGCCCTTTGGTCTTTCCCCTCTCCCATTCCCTGTATTTCCATTTCCATTTTTGTATATGAATAACCTACTGACATCAGTGGAATGCAATTTTGTGTAAACAAAGCTGTGAAAAAACCCTCGACTCTTTTTCTTTCTCTGTTGCTACTTCTGCAACAGCTATCACCACTTCCACAGTCTTCACATCCCCAGCCTATCTTGGCTGTCACCTAACCCTAGTTGTGGAATATATCAAATTCCCTTAGTTTAATTTTTTCTCAGAAAAAGAAAAGGAATAAGAATTGATATCTTTAGACAACTTGAATTTCTTTGTTTCAGCAACAAAAAATTGCAGATTGAAAGAAATTGCTGAAGTTAAATAATAGGAGGCCAGATTTTCATTTACCATATTTGCAGTGATATATTTACTTGTCATGTTGTAAATTCATGATGTGTGTTCCTACACAAAAATTGAAAATAACATGTTACCCCTGATCATTGTAGAGAATTTTAATTCTTGTTTTATTCTTACATTAACTCAATGTTTTTGTTCCTTTATATTAAGTATATATTATATAAAATAGCAAATCAAGGTTTGCTTTTGGGAAGGGTTTTTTTTTTTTTTTGGATGATTGACTACGTGGATAAAGAACACAGGACTACAGAAGGCCAATTTTATTTATTTATTGTGTTTCTGTTTTTAAATAAAAAATTTAAATAACCTAGTATTTAACATAGATCGCTTCAAAGAACATTGTAAATGATGCTTTCATAAATATCTAATGAAATAACATAATTTCTTTTAAAAGTCTTCATTTCTGTTATTAAGAGATGAATGGTGCTTTCAGTATCAGAGTAGCTCAACATCTGGGCTCTATTTCTTCCAGGTTATGCAGCAATTCTTTTAATTCCAGCAACTGATAAAATTACCGGTTCCTTATTTTACTTGCTAGTATTCCTTTTCCAGGAAAAGATTGCATATTGATTTGGGAGCTTTTGTTCTCAGCAAACTTTGAGGAAAATTGCAGGTTGTGCTATGGTGATAGAAGAAACCCATTTCCAAGTTTTATAGAACCAATTATCTGTAATGAGGTATATGAGACTGATCCCGGTATTTCATAGTACTTCTGAAGTTCATGGTACTTCATTGCATTAACTTCCAGTGGTTTAAAATCTATACTTTTTGTTTGAAAACAAGTCTCATCAATTATTAGGCATCTTGATTACTTGGTCATTTTACCACCATGCACTTGATGTAAAAGAAGGGAACGTCTTGGTGCAAATATTCAGATTTGTTTATACAGAACTTTCTGCCTTGCACTTGACACTTTGCACTGTGTCACTGTGCTCCAGTCTGTGTACAGTTTCCATTGTGCTGGGCTCTGCTTGCTCACAAGGTTGATATGGGCTTTTCTTGTGTCAGGACCATCCGTTCTGTTTCTTAAATTTCTTCTGCAGTATTTGCATTAGTCATATTAAGAACATAAGCATTTTTGAACAATAATCAGCACAGGGAATTTTTAAAAATCAAGTGTATAAAAATATGGTCCCCTTCCCAACATATTCATTAGCAACTAAAGAGCAATTTTGAGAGGAAATATTTTAGACTGTGAGTGCACTTGTCCAGCTGTATTTAAATGGATCTAGCATATAATTATATTAAAAAAATTTCCTAGGATGAGACCAACAAATAAAGTAATGAAATTCAGTGTAAGAGTTATTTATTGTACAATTATTTATTCCTCCTTCAATCCAGTATTGGACTATTATTTAAATGAGCTGTGTTGAATCTGCAGATGTATCTTGAGCAACCAGTTCCCATTGTGACAAATTTAAAGAGAGCTAGCTTATAGTATTAGACCTCTGAAGATGAGTACCTTCATAATTGTTACAATTCCAATTTTGTTTCAAAATTGCAAATAGTACTTTTTGAGAAACCCTGTAATCCTTTAGTCTATTTGTATTTATGCTGTCTTTTTTTCCTTGAAAGAATAAAGGTTCACTTCAGTTTGAAGACAAGTGGGATTTCATGCGCCCCATTGTTTTGAAGCTTTTACGTCAAGAATCTGTAACAAAACAGCAGTGGTTTGATCTCTTTTCGTAAGTAATCTCTCTGACTCTTAGTTACTGAGTAATGGAATGAAATGTAGTTGCGATATTGTTCTATCTATCTATCTTGTCAGAACAGCTGTTCAAGGAAGGATCCAGTAATACACATATCATGACAAGTTTTTGTTTTCAAAATTGTATTGAAAATCAGGATAATAATAAAGCTTCAGTGGTTTATTTGAAATTTCTCCGTGCTTTGAAAAAATGTCCATGCATACACACACACACACACACTTTGTGTGATCTGATCCTGGTTCCCATCTTCTCTTTATTTACCTTATTTATAACTTGACTTTCCTTCATTTATTAGAGTAATTTTACTGTAGAGTTAACTGGTTGGGTAGTGCATATTTCTGTAGTTCATATGCTGTTGCTCTCAATAGAATTCTAAATTTCAAATCGGAGTATATCTAAAGCTGAAAACAGCAGTTAGAAAAGCTATAGGATGTGACTTTTAATAGTGCTTCATTTACACGACATGCCAAAATGCTTTTGGGGAAGTATTTGTGGAATGTATCACATCCTTTGGTCAAAAAGGCCTGCTCCACATTTGTTGTGAGATCAGTTGGAGGCGGGGTTTCTAGAACATTACCAAGGACTGATTTAAGGGTGAATATTTGTTAAAGGCTAGCCTGACTGCTGGGCTGCAATGCTAACTGAACTGCTAGCTGCTGGGGCCTGTGTTAGGAACCTGTATTTTTTTCCTCTCAAGCTACTCCCTCCCAGAAAGGCAGGTGCTGCTGTGAGTTGCCAAAGAAGAAGCTCTTGCAGTTTTCTATTTTTGGTTCTTTGAGGCCAGAGGTTAAGATTGAGGGGATGATAGATGCATATATGGGAAAGCAGAAGGGATATCCGGAGAGAATTCAAGTGGACATATCTCAATACTCTTACTGCTCCAGTATGCTTTTGGGCAAATTGATCAACTCGTCCTTAGAAATATATTGAAATGATTACGTAGTTTGGAGTGATATTAAAACAGTGTGACAAATTTCTTGGAAAGGAGTAAAAATGTGGGGTATGCACCATTGAGAATGTTATCATCAGTTCCTGCAGAGTTGAAACATCATATGAGCTCCCTTTTGGTACAGATTACCATAAAATCTCCATGGAGATTTCGAGGATTAAGTTTGATTTCCTGTAGTCTTAGCATATCATTCAAATCACTACAGCCATACTGGCTTGAATTTGCTTTTGTCTGACTTGAGTATACATATCTTCCAGTGATGTGCATGGAGTTTGTTTGTGGGATGATAAAGGTCCAGCAAAAATACACCAGGCTTTGAAAGAAGACATCCTTGATTTCATTAAACAAGCACAAGCGGTAAGTTTTTAACTATTGGCAAGCAGATGCTTCTATTTATCATAGTCTTAAAGTGTAGTTTCTTATTTTCTTCATTTACAGAAATAAAAATCTGTAGTGTTTGGCATGCAGTTTGGGGGGGGGGGGAGATACCATAAATGTGTTAGGCCACCTCATCTATGTGTCTCTTGACAAGATGGTATGTACTGTGCATTTTGAAAAACTATCAGAATTCTAACGCCTGTGAATTATGGCTTGGATCCAGAACAAGTTGGTGACATTGAAAACATGATTAGCTTAAGCTGTGTTGATTTTTTTGGATCTGCATGTCACTAAATTGATCTGGATTGAATATTAGAAGTATATTACTTATAAACACACTTTTACTTTTCAGTATAGTTTAGTGTAGTAATATTTAGGCCTGAAAAACTGACCTTGTGGCTCAGGAAATCCTCTGTTTGAATCTCATTTCTACCAAGAGACTTGGGCCCCTTCCACACAGCTAAACAAAATACCACGTTAACTGGAATATATGGTAGTGTGGACTAAGATAACCCAGTTCAAAGCAGATATTGTGAGATATTCTGCCTTGATATTCTGGGTTATATGGCTGTGTGGAAGGGCTCTAGGCAGCCTTATGTAAACCGGTAAAAGTATGATAGCTGGGACGCAGTGCTGGTAGAGCTATGCAGGTTGCATAACGCGGCTCTGAATTAGAGAAGGGAACACATGTGTGAGACACAGCACCACATGCGCGCGAGACCGCAAGCAGTGAGAGACGCAGCTGCAACAGAGTTGACAAGGTAGTTTGCTGGGAAGGGGAAACAGCCAAGCATACTCATGTAGCCTATCCGGAGATATTATCCAAGCATGTTCACAAACGTCGTTGCATTGGAAGGAAGGATAAAAAGGATGGGAGAAATACGAGAAGTGCTGAAAATTGTATCAAATCCAGTAACTGTTACATTACCTCACTGGTATCCTGTCCCACCTGCCTCTCTTACTTGGTGCGCTGTCTCCTGCACGTGTTCCCTTCTCTAATTCAGAGCCACGTTGCGCAATCAGCGTAGCACTACCAGCACTAGATCCCAGCTATCATACTTTTACCAGTAAACCAGTCTTTCCCTCTCTGCATGCAAATAAAGAAAGTATTATAAAATTTACCAGGTGGGTATTAGTAGTAAGGTAATGTCTGTGAAGCTCTTTAAACATTCAAAAGTACAATCCATTTTATAGCTCCTGGTCGTTCATAAAACTAAAGAGAGCCTGGAAGCCTTCATATACCTGTAAACAAATAATGCACTTTTACAGTCTGGGATGGCCATGATTCAATAGCTAGCATAGCTTCAAGTTTTAAGCACATTGAGTAGTGGACTCCAGCCACGTTATCTGAATCAAACTTTGTAATCAGTGAGGCAAGAGATTTTGCAGTCGAAATCACCCTCACATCCATATTTTTATCACCTGATCGTGATGCAGGGACATAAGGAAGTAGACCTTGTAAGGAATTCTTCCTTCCTGTTCCTTGCGGAACTTAATCCACAACCCTTACAACTTCTACTGTTTAGCCAGATAGTATCTTAACTTAAGTGCTTAACTACCTCAACTACAAATGTTAGAAACTTGCTTTTAAAGGTGAAAGTTAAGTTTTACACAAAAAGATCCACCGCCCTTTCTATGGTCAGGATCAAGTGTGAATGAAAATTTGTACATATGTGAAAGAAAATCTGGCAAATGCCTGTTTTATCCTTTCTTGAAAACCTCTGAAAAACAAAATAGCTCAGCAAACTTTGGATGGCTTGTTCTAGTACTGAGAAACTCTAATGATTATTGATATAGTGTTCTTAATTGTCAGAGTTCCAGTAACCACATAATAGTCTTACTACAAGTATTCAATTTGGCTTACAAGTATGTTACAATCTCCTAATAACGTTAAAAATTGTAGCAATAAGCAATGTTCTGCAGTCATTTCTGGCACGTGCACAAATCTTTGCATTTGCTTCTTCCATTTACAACTGAAAGCATAAAGCCAAAGTACTTGTTTTAGGTAAAACTTAGCATCAAAACAATCTATATATGCATAGGCTTTTTTTTAGAAGGACAGGAGAGCAGATTTTCTGTAGGAGCTAAAAGGACTATAAAAGTCAGTTTCTAGGAAGGATGATCTTAAACTTTCAGGAAGTAGATACATGACTTGACAGGCTTTCTTCAAAGTCTCCTTCCATTTTTGTTTTCAACTAAAATTCATATTGGCATGATATTACTTGTAAACCTATTTTTCTGTATTCAAGCTGTTAAAACAAATACAAATGGCTGTAATGCTAAGCATACTTACTTGAGAATAAATCCTAAAGAACACAGTGAGACTTGTCTCAGAGTAAACATGCATTGGCATTAGACTTCAAACATTTTACGCCATTGTTTGGTGCTCCGGTGTACAGTTCAGAAGATGTATTTTTCTGGGTCACTTAAATGATCTACTCAAGAAGCAAATGTCAAGGACCTTTTTAGTCGTTTTGGGAGGCTCTCTTGCAAGGGACAGGATGGAAAGCTCCCTCTGGTGCAGTCAGGAAGAGTAATCCCTTTCTCATATACCATTTGTTCTCAACTTGTGGGTCCCCAGATGCTTTGGCCTTCAACTCCCAGAAATCCTAACAGCTGGTAAACGGGCTGGGATTTCTGGAAGTTGTAGGCCAAAACACCTGGGGACCCACACATTGAGAACCACTGTCATATACCCTAAAACATGGCTTCAGTGCTGTAGAGGGAGGAGAAAAAAGTCCTGCTGCTATCTAAGCATTAGGTCAGTATTGTTGTTAATAGCAGAATTCTATGCACATGATATACATGTTGTACATTTTATCCAGAAGTTAGGGGGTTTTTTTTCAGAGGAAAATTGATAGCAATCATTGACTTAACTTTCTTATTTACTTCTGAGTAGAAATTCTTTGCAAAAGTATTTTACTTTTGGCCGTCTTTCTTCTTTCAGAGAGTGCTCAGTCACCAAGATGATACTGCACTACTGAAAGCCTATATTGTAGAATGGCGTAAATTCTTCACGCAATGTGATATATTACCCAAGCCATTTTGTCAGTTAGAGATCACTCTCATGGGCAAACAAGGCAGCAATAAGAAATCCAATGTAGAAGACAGTATTGTACGAAAGGTAAGTGCTGTGTTTTATGAAACATTATAGAAAAAAAAGCTAGTTGTAGCACCACAACAACAGGTTGTAGCTAGTTGCCAGTCCCCTGGTGGCACAGCTGAGTTGCTGAACTTGCTGACTGAAAGGTTGATGGTTTGAATCGGAGGAGAAGGATGAGCTCCTGCTGTTAGGCCCAGCTTCTGCCAATCTAGCAGCTCGAAAACATACAAATGTGAGTAGATCAATAGTTACCGCTTCTGCAAGAAGGTAATGGTACTTCATGCAGTCATGCTGGCCACATGATCTTGGAGGCGTCTACGGACAATGCTGGCTATTCAGCTTAGAAATAGAGATGAGCACCACCCCCTAGAGTTAGACACAACTAGACTTAATGTCAGGGGAAACCGTTACCGTTATATTTACTAGCACTAATATATGGCACAAGGGAGCAGTGAAATTGTCCTGCACCGATAATGACAGTGGCATTTTACTTACAGGGTTAAAAGCTGGCAGCTCTCATTCCGAGTATTGCCTTCTCTTTAACAAATCAGTTCCACTTGGGTATTTATTCTCTATGGAAGAAACTTTGAATATTTTTGCTGCTTTTTGTGCTAAAATACATGCAGAATGCTTAAAAGTCTGAGTTGGGGAGAAATATGTATAGATCCTCCATCCAGTGGAATATACAGGAGGAAATAACGTACAATAAAGAGATACAGTAGGCATATTCATAATAGTTTTTTGTTCTTTGAAATATAATTTCTGCTTCATTACCACCTCTTACTTCCAAATTTTGAAATTGTCCTTTGTAGAAAAAGTGATAATTATAATGGAAGATTACTACATGAGTAATTTTCATGTGAACAAAATGTATTATTTGAGAAGGAAGAGAAGTTTTATTCTGGAAGCAAAACATGCCATGCCTTCAAAATGGTTGTCATATCAAAACCTTTATAGCTGGTGTAATACTTTCTTCTTCTTTTGTATTTATAGCTCATGTTAGATACTTGGAATGAGTCCATATTTTCAAATATAAAGACTCGCCTTCAGGACAGTGCAATGAAGCTGGTCCATGCTGAACGGCTGGGGGAGGCATTTGACTCTCAACTCGTCATCGGTGTTAGAGAATCCTATGGTACGTTCTGTCATTGCAACTCCCTTGAATGTGCAAAGTAGGATAACAAATTTAGCAACTGATTCATTTTTACAGGAAATAAGTTTCAGTAGTTGGTGCCAACAATGATAAATTCAATACAATCCTTTTCTTACATCATCATTCCCTATTGAAACCTAAAGATGAAAACTAGCATTTCTGGTTTGCACTGTTCATAAACGACAATATTTTTCTCATGCTTGAAACTATTTAGTTTTAAGTAAGAGATTATTTAGGATTTCTGTCAGCAGGGATTTTAAGATTTCTATGTAAAACAGATACAGAAGAAAAAACAGATCTGTGCACTGAATATATGTGATAAATTGGGATGACTGATAATCATATAACCAACTATTATTTGCATCTCAATTGCTGTTTAAGACAATCTGTGTTCTGTGGGTCGCAACAGTATAATCCTGAAATACTTATATTGCCAACAGTCTTATTAAAATGCTTTTATTTAATAGATGTATAAACTTTTATAAGTACTTTTATTTCCTCAAAAACTGCTAGTTAGACTGTGAAGGAGTATTATTTTTCTGTCCAGAATATTTATAGTATTTATAACTGATATTCTCACTTTTTAAGAGAGGAGACTATGTTTCTTCATATGGAAGTCTGAAAAGAAAAACTTTACCCTGATATTTCTTGTTACAGTTAATCTGTGTTCCAATCCAGAAGATAAACTCCAGATTTATCGGGATAATTTTGAAAAAGCATACCTTGATTCAACAGAGAGATTTTATAGAACTCAAGCCCCTTCGTATTTGCAACAGAATGGTGTACAGAATTATATGAAATATGTAAGTGAAAAGGTGCTCATATCAAAGTATCTGTGTTACAAATATTAATATTTTAAGTGATCATTATTCTGCTTCTGCACAGGCAGATGCTAAACTAAAGGAAGAAGAAAAAAGAGCACTACGGTATTTAGAAACCAGACGTGAATGTAATTCTGTAGAAGCGGTAAGTATACTGTGAAAATATTTATACAGTAAATTATTTACCATCTAAATAGCGGCAAAAATGAAGCCAATAAAATGTTTTAGGAAGTTAAATCTTCAAACAAATCAAAATCTAGCAAGTTTAGTTCTCTGTACACAGTAATATTATTTTTCTTATTTACTTATTTATTTCTATCCCACTTTTTCCCAGAGTGGGATTGTATGCTGCAATGCACAGCATATAAAATCAGAAAACAGTTATATAACATAAAATATAATCATAAGCCACAAAATGTATAAAATTAGCAACTTATAATATTATAAAACCCCCAACACCCATAAAATCCATAAAACAACTAACACAGAACATAAATTAGACATTCAGGTTAAAAGTCTCGGTAATATCTAGTCCTTTAGGCTGTAAACAACAAGATAGATTGATTGATTTCATATGCTGATCCTCACCAGCAAGACTATGTACTGTGCCCTCTGAAATGATGTTTCTCCTGGTAAATAGAATTACTCCAAGGAGAACTGGAGTGATAAGATTTTTTTGGTATATTGTATTCTCCTGTGTTCCCTTAAATAAAGAAACCTCCATTTTGGAGGATTTTGGCTTCAGTTCTGTGCCCATTTACATGGGAGTAATGCCTTAGAACATGTTAGGTTTTGCAGCTGTAGTTGCACTAAAAATGCATCCATCATTTTTTTCAGCTTTAAAATTTAGGTCATGCAGGTTTAAGGAAGAAAACAGTAATTCTACAGTGAAATGCTCAAAGAATCATACTGACATACATTGGAATCTGGTGTTTAAGTCCTTGAAAAAAATATTCACAGTTTTCTTTGTTATAATGTATTTTAATATGCCTTAAATATACAGTACAATATTGCCTTAGATATATATATAAAACAAAAAATCAGGAATGTCATTGTGGGGGTCTACTCCAGACCCCCCAAGCCAGTGAATGAGATTGTAAAAACACAATGCTTACAGTTGCCTTTAACTTTCAGCTTATGGAGTGTTGTGTTAATGCTCTGGTGACGTCTTTTAAGGAGACCATTTTAGCAGAATGCCAAGGCATGATCAAACGAAATGAAACTGAAAGTAAGTGAAAGTTTATATTTTCTCCTGTTGGCTTGCTATGGATAACGTAAAATGCATTGGTGTATATTTCTTCTTTATAAGACAGATACATGAGGAATACAGATTGATGTAGGACCAGTTGGAAGTTACTTACTGCCCTACATTATCTTGCTTTAATAAACTTTACAAAGAGATTTATTCTATGTTATTTGTTGCTGTAACTTATCCAAGGAGATCAGGGCACACTATGGTTGGCTCAAGGTCGTTCTTTAAATTTAATAGGTGAATGAAGATTGAAACCCATTCTCACTCCTCGTTCAGCACTTTCTAATCCAGAGGCAGAGAACCTGCAGCTTTCAAGGAATTGCTTAAAACTGAATCCAATCAACTCCTTTGCAACTTGGAAAGGAAAGTTAGAGCAGAAGTTGGGTATAGCTTCCAGACCTATATCATAATCTGTTCATTCAGTGCAGCTGTCTATGTAGACAGCTTTCGTGTTCTTTAATGAATATTAGCCAGTACTAGCAGCAAATACATATTGAGCCTTTCCTTTCCTTTTCCCCCTTTTTCTTTCTTTCTTTTCTTTTCTTTTCTTTGTCTCATTTAGCTTCAGGATAACCCAATTGTTGCCACTTAGATAAACAAATAAACAAGGAAACTTTTATAAGCTCTGAAAAGAAAATAGTTTATTTATTTGGGGGGTAAAAATCATGGGATGTGATTTTTAGAATTTACTGTATTCTGTGGATGAAGTACAAAAGATAATCTTTTTATTCCTAATATTTTAGTATGTAATGACTCTACATTAACTATCAAAATTAACAAATAAAATTAAACATTTTTTCTGATTTGTTGAGAGTGGATTTCTAGCTTTTATCACGTAAACATTTGTATTTAGGTCTAGGAATTCAGAAGGCACCTGACCTTAAAACTTAGCCTGGCGCCTTATTATGACAGCAGTTGTTTGGCACCTGTCCAGTGCTGAATATAGCAAAATGCCAACTCTTGTATAAGTATAGCTTTCCACTCTCTTGGGGAATGAGGAAGTTGCAGCTRTAAAAAAAATTGATGGGTGAACTAAAGCTCTTTCAATGAATCTCATTTCTTTCATCTTATGGAAGCAGATGAATTTTATTTATTTATTTATTTATTTACTATATTTGTATACYGCTCTTCTCAGCCCTCAGGGTGACTCAGAGCGGTTAACAAAGCAAATACAATACTTAAACATGATGAAAACAGTTAAAAACAAGTTAAAAGAATAACATTATAACAATCAATAAACATCATAACATCTCATCTCRTCTCATAGATGAATATTTGTTTGTAATTTCAGTTTTTCTGTATAAGTTTATTTTTCTCAGATATTCAACTTGTAATAGAGTGTGACTATGAAAATAGTTACCCTGGGCAACGTCCTTGCAGATGGTCAATTCTCTCACACAAGTCACTTGCAGTTTCTCAAGTCGCTCAGGACACACACACAAAAAACCCCATTATACTGTATTACTATACTACATATCGATTCTTTTCCTTTCCTTTATCCCCTTTTTCTTTCTTTCTTTCTTTTCTTTGTATTCATTTAGATTGTATTCAAATAGCAACCCAATTGTTGCCACCTAGATAAACAAGGAAACTTCTATAAACTCTGAAAAAAATATTTATTTTGGGGGCAAAAAATTATGGAATGTAATTGAATCTCATTTCTTGGGTCTTATGGAAGCAGAGGAATATTTGTTTGTAATTTCTCTTTTTCTGTATAAGTTTATTTCTCTCAGATACTCAACTTGCAATAGAGTGTGACTATGAAAATAGTTACCTACAGAAACCTTTTGTGGTCTTTAAAAAAACCCAGTAGAAACACATTGTGAAAGATTTGACAGAGAAATCTGTAAACTTTAGGATGGACCAGAATTGAGATGATCTGTCTATCTCCTCTTAATTAAAATCTAGTCTGTAAATTAGGTTCTGGTCTTTTGTATACCTTCTTCTCCCCTCCAGAGCCATTTTCTTTTTTCTTACCTTCTTCAGATCCATGTAGTACATGTGCACCATAATTTTAATGTTTGATTTACAAGGAATCATGGCTTGCACTGGTTTATAATCATGTAAAGCTGTGAGTGTTGCTGGAGAAGAGAGGAGAAATATGGTTGGAGTAAACAGTATTTTCAAAGAAACAAAGGGACATTATCTGGGAATCAGCCTGAAAGCTCATTTGCAAGGAACCTACAAGTTGGATGCATATACTGTATAATAATCTTATACTCATGTTCAGAAAACTGTACATGGAGTATATTTGGCTGTAGATTTTGTGCATGTTGGACAATTTTAAAATGTTCGTAATTGTATATAAAGTTAACAGATACTTCATTACATATGAATTGCCTGGTAGTATCTTTGATATTTTGTATTTTCAGAGTTGCATTTAATGTTTTCATTGATGGACAAAGTTCCTAATGGAATAGAGCCTATGTTAAAAGATTTGGAAGAACATATTGTTAGTGCTGGATTAGCAGACATGGTAGCAGCAGCTGAAACCATTACTACTGTAAGTAGGTGTTCCTTTTATATATCCTTTGCCCCATCATAATGAGAACTTTCCAGAAATCTGAAGAATGCCATGCAGGATGAAATTTTAAAATTACAGAAATGAATAGTGGAAATGAACGTTAAAATTAACTGTGTTTACTTAATGTTGTTTCATTAAAATGACTACACCTTTTTGTAATTAAAGACCTGTGTTTGAATTGATCAGTGACATTTAGCAATTAAATGTTTTATTGAAATATTGAGTTTTCTAGTAAACAGTAGGAGTTATACTACATCAAGTCCTATGGATCTAGGGAAAGTATGAGCAAACCAGGCCTGGGAACTGGATGCGGCCCCTTGGGCTCTTTTCTCAGGTCCTCCTTTCTCACACCATCCTATCCTTCCTTCTCTCTTTCCTTCCTTCCTCCTTCCCTCCCTCTTTTTCCCTTCCTCCTTCCTTCACTTCTACACTTTTGTCCTTCCTTCCTTCTTTCCTCCCTCCTTCCCTCTCTCTCTTTCTCCTCCCTCCCTCCTTCCCTTTCCTTTTGTTTTCCTTCCTTCTCTCTTTCCTCCCCCCATTCCCTTCCACCCTTCCTTCCATCCTTCTCTTCCTTTCTTCCTCACTTTCTTCCTTCTCTTTTTCCTTTCCTCTAGGGGATGTTTAGCTGGGAGAAGGGAAGATAGAGAGGGAATATGAAAGCCATATTTAAAGGTTTAAAAGGGTGTTCCATTGAGAATGAGGGAGAAAACTGATGTTATGCTGTTCTGGAGACCAGGCCACAAGGGAGCAATGGTTTCAAATGGGAGGGAAAGAGATTCGACTGAAAAGATTAGGAAGAAATTCCTGGAGAGTGGCATACTGCCTGCTTCTGAGTGTGGTAGAGTCTCCTTCTCTGGGGGCTTTTCCGCAGAGGCTTATCGGGAGTACTTTGATTGTGCCTTCCTGCATGGCAGGGGCTTGGACTGGATGGCCCTTGGAGGTCTCTTCCAGCTCTAGGATTCTAGAATTCTATATCAGGAGTAGGCAATACAGGGCCTAATGGGTACACTTTTTCTCTCCCATCCACCATCTCATCCTGACCAAGGCCAACGTTTTGGGATCCAAATATTTCCACTCTTTCCTTTACTTTCTGTCTCCAGAAGAGAAGGGGGCGGGGGGAAGGCAATGATGGGATTTGGGGACAACCCCCTCCCTCCCATCCTGCTCCAGCCCGCCATTAGGCCCCTGAAGTTAGACAGTTCACCTATGTGTGATGTAGGGAATCCTAAAGGACTTGCTGTATTGGATATTTGTTGTGCTGGCAGTGTGAATTTCATAGACAGGTTTACATTACCATACTTTTGTTCTCTAGCATATCATATGCCACTGAGTGGGATTCAAAATGCTATGTGACCAAGCTTTGAGCTTCCTCTTTTCACATGTGAAAATTTCTTAAGAGGCCATTTCTGTGACAAGAGGAAGAAGCCAAGGCCTTTCATTCATGGATGGGGAAAGTGACCCATTGGCTTTGAAGCAGACCTCTTCAGCCTGCGGCCCTCCCGCTGTTTTGGATTTCAGTTCTCAGAATTCCTGACTATTGAACAAACTGGCTAGGGCTTCTGGGAGTTGGAGGCCCGAACCCCTGGAGTATTGCAGGCTGAAGAGGCCTGCTTTAAAGTGTACTGGTAATCCCATCTATAAATGTATTTTTTTAATTTACTCAAAAGTTACTCCCAGGTTTATCCAGCATAATTTATGATTTAATTCCTGTTTTTAAAAGAAGCCTATCTCCTGGTTTAAGAATTAAGATGGAGACTGGTTAGTGTTGACTATATTTCACATCAGTGCTGATGTAATACTGATGCATGCCAGGGACATAGAAGAGGAGTTTTCTTTGGGGAGGGAGCAAATACATGCTTTTAAGGCTGACTCTCACAAACTGATTTGCTAGAGCCGATGTTACATCTGTACTAGGTCAGAGTAAGTGCTGTACTTGACTAGAAGGCTTATGTGCTCAAAGCTCTTGTATTGTCCATACAGAATATAGTAGCTTCTGAGAAGTGAACACTTGCAGAACAGCTCTTTATCTTAAGTAATGAACTGTTTCATCCTAAAAGAGGCTTGGAAACATCAAGGAAAGGAGAACCTTTGAGCTCTGTATTTCCCTTGAAACTTTACCTTAAGGCTTAAAAGCATTAGAATTTTTAAAAACTCATATAAAATCAGCGTAGTTTATTGATTAATGGTTACATGCTATCTTTTCCTCACAGCTTTGGCTTTTTATTTTTTATTGATTTGCTTCTTCAATTTTTAGGATTCTGAAAAATATGTAGAACAATTGCTTACATTATTTAATCGATTTAGCAAACTGGTTAAAGAAGCTTTCCAAGATGACCCAAGATTTCTTACGGCAAGAGATAAGGTATGTGATCTAGGCAATTCATCTTTTGTTTCATTTTTGGACATTGAATATTTTAAGGCACAATAGCAGGCCTAGAAATATTGCAACTTGCATGATATAATTATTTTAAAAACTGTTAAAGCAAATGTATGTCTGGCAGAACCTTAGGATTTAGAAACCTAGTCATGTGAAAGTTGGCAAGTTTATTAAGATGGCCACATGAGTATGTTCCTCAAGATTTATTTATTTAACTATTTACAGGCTTTACAAATACATTAATTAAACCTTGGCCTTGCAATGTCATTCTCTGTCATACATTTCTAGTCAGTTTAGTTTAAAGCCATGGAATAGGAATCTGAGACACAGGGAATTCTCCAGTGTTATGAGGCAGCCCCTTCCTGCAAACAGAGCAGATAATCCCCATTTGCAGGAACTGCAGAGTAGTAACAGATCTGCCTGGGGAGCAAGTGGCTGTAGTATTTGTGTGATAAAATGTGTTCCAAATCTTGAGCTAACAACTGGGTAGGTTTACTTACTTACTTAAGGCAGTTGAGGCCCTTGCACTAATATTTGAGAACTAGAAATTTTAGGGTCTCTAGGACACTTTTAAGTTGGAGGAAAATGTGCTGAGATTGTGCCCATGCCTTCATGGCCCAATCTCAGCCAGTTTCCCTTCCACCTAAAAGTTTGGAAAGGAGCATTTTGACTTTTTATTATGTGGGGTGGTAGTTGCAAGAGGTGTAGCCTTCCAGGTTCTGGAGAGTGGCCTTTGAGTAGCTGCCCAGCACAAATTTAGGTAATTGTAGATTTTAATGAAACAAAGATCATAGTATTATAAATTCCATAAAATAATTGTGTACACTTCTATGAGGTATGGAGCACCTATGACAGAATATTACCAGGTTTTAATTAAAATAAGAATTCTGTCAGTTCTACTGATTCGATGACTGGAGGTGACCCCTCAGTTCATTCCCTGCCTCTTATAGCCTTACTTATGGATTTGCCTCTTTCTTTGTAGGCAGAAGTATTTTAGCATGGTGTGTGAAGCAATGGCTCCAATTTCTGTTAACTCTAGATTTTCAATCCTAGGTCCATTCCACACAGCTGAATAAAATCCCACATTATGTGCTTTGAACTGGAATATATGGCAGTGTGGACTCAGATGACCCAGTTCAAAGCAGATATTGCGGAATTTTCTGCCTTGATATTCCAGTTTATATGACTGTGTGGAAGGACCCTGGAACATGGTCATGGGAGAAATATACATCCACAGAGCATTTGATTTACATTCTTGGAGAAGTTAAAACATTGGTCATGCTGTTAGAAGATTCTAGGAATTATAGTGCAGATAATATGTTATGGTGGCACAGTGGATTAAACCACTGAGCTGCTGAACTTGCTGACTGAAAGGTCGGCGGTTCGAATCCAGGGAGCAGGATGAGCTCCTGCTGTTAGCCTCGTCTTCTGCCAACCTAGTAGTTTGAAAGCATGAAAATGTGAATAGATCAAAAGGCACCGCTTCTGTAGGAAGGTAACAATGCTCCATGCAATCATTTTGGCAACATGACCTTGGAGGTGTCTGCAGACAATGCCAACTCTTCGGCTTAGAAATGGAGATGATCATCACCCCCTAGAGTCAGACACAACTAGACTTAAAGTCAGGGAAAACCTTTACTTTTAATATAACTATGACATTGGATGTCGGGCACTTGGTTGTATTTGATATGTGAACTAGGTGTGTGAGTAAGCATGAAGATTTTGAATTACAAGTTCTGAAATTCTAAAATGTGCTGCTTTGTTAACAGAATTGATGGAATTATTTTGTTTTATTTTAGGCATATAAAGCAGTTGTCAATGATGCTACTATATTTAAACTAGAATTACCACTGAAACAGAAGGGGTAAGTTACTTGAATACTTACTTGATGTTGATACATTCTGGTTAAAATTTATTAGACAAGTTTTTAATCAATAATTAACTCTTATATAGAATTGAAAAGACTTTCATTCCATTTGATGTGTTTTGTTGTAATTTTGCTTTCTACTTTGGATTCATCCCCAAAGCTTGAGACAAATAATAGCATATTAAAATATATATTGCTAACCAAATACGACTCAACAACTATCTTTTAAAATATTACTGTTAAATTTATGTAATGTTATCTATCCAAAAACAGAATAAATGAGCTTGAAACAAATAATAGTACATGAGAACATACTTAAGATAACCAAGTATGATTATCTATATATTTTCAAACCTTACTGCTAAAATGGTCTATCTATCTCTGGTCTGGGCAAATGTTGGCCCTGCAGGAGTTTTGGACTTCAAGTCCTACAATTCCCAGCAGCCTCAAGCCCTTTCCTCAAGCGGCTGAGGGGGAAAAGGAAGGGGCCTGAGGCTGCTGGGAATTGTGGGACTTGAAGTCCAAAACTCCTGCAGGGCTGAAAGTTTGCCCAGGCCTGATCTATCTAAACCAGAAAATTTGATTAGTTGCCTTCACTTTGAAAGATTATCAAATTTTGAGTCTCTGTAGATGTCATTCATGCAAACATCCATCTTTAGTTTACATACCAACTCTATATTTCTGAATACAGTTTTTTTCTGTCACCTTGTTCATTCAGGTTACTATGCCTAGAGCAAAATAAGCCTGAAAGATGCCTTTGTGGTTTCATTGAGAGATTTCCATTCTTAAGTGATTAGCATAGCTTTAATTTGTACAGTAGTGTACACCCTTTAATGTTGATGGGTACACCCTTATGACAGTTGTTTTTCATATTCATTTAGAGTTGGATTGAAAACACAGCCAGAGTCCAAGTGCCCGGAACTACTTGCTAATTATTGTGATATGTTGTTAAGAAAAACACCGCTCAGCAAAAAACTAACATCTGAAGAAATTGAAGCAAAGCTTAAAGAAGTGGTATGTGCTATTCGATACCTTCTAGGCCTGTGCAATCAAAGAAAAAATAGGGGGGGGGGGGGGATGGAGAATCATTTCTAAAGGATTTCTAAAATATCATTAGGGTTCTGTATAGTAAGTACAATAGAGTCTTGCTTATCCGACATAAACAGGCCAGCAGAACATTGAATAAACAAAAATGTCGGAAAATACGAAGTCTCCTATTGTTACCCATCTGATGCGGCGCTAGGCACCTAGAATACTAACAACAGGGACTCAAAGGGTTAAGGCAAGGCATTGCGTCAGGGCTAGAGTAGTCTAGCAGGAAGTGTCCGGATGCGGAAGAGGAGTGTCGATATCACAGAGGGAAGAAGGGAGGACGCTTCTGCTTCCGGTCCTGCCTCTTTTCCCCCTTTCCTCCCTCCTCCTCGCCTTGCCTTTTTTTACTTTTTGGGAATGGAGAGAGAGTTGAGGAGCACTCCTTTAATTGAAAGGGAAATGCTGAAGGAAAAGGGGGACGTTGGATACGACAGAATGTCAGATAAGGGAAGGTCGGATAAGTGAGACTCAACTGTATAATGATATAATGAACTGTACTAGTTTTGAAATCATATTAACAGAAGAATATGATATAAATTAAATAAATGTTGTTTTTAAACAGCTATTGGTACTGAAGTATGTGCAAAACAAAGATGTTTTCATGAGATACCACAAAGCTCACTTAACAAGGCGCCTAATATTGGATATATCAGCAGACAGTGAAATAGAAGAGAACATGGTGGAATGGCTTAGGGTACGTACATTGAATCTTGTTGGTTTTTCACTTTATGAAAAAGCAGACCCTTGAAATAAAAATCATCTGTTACTTAGCTCCTAGGTTCTTTTCAGCACTTGGCAAATAGGATTTGTGTTGTATCAACTGTGTGTTAAGAAAGGATTTCATATTTGCATTTATATATTGAAAATTAGTAGTAGCTCTGACCTGTGCACACAGTGTTCAGTGAGTTATTGGTTTACTTGATTTGAGAGCCTCATGATATATAAAAGGTAATATCCATGTCGGAGACAGGTAATTAATAACTTTTGGGTTATCTCCAACTCCTACTCTATATAGTTTTGCATGTGAAATCTTCAGGTGATGGCAGTGATGTTTCTTTCTTACCTGCCTCTTTCAATATGGGGAACTACATATGAAAATATAATACATGACACAACATCCAGTTTCTCAGCTTGCATCTGACACGCAAAAAATATGTTAGAAATACATAACACCAGTTAGAAAGACATGAAATCAGTTAAAAGAATATTTCAAACCACTCAATACGTACTTTAAAGTTCTGTGTTTGAAAATTTGTAATTCAAAATTACTAGCCAAACCACAGATTTTTGCTGGCAGTAGTTTTCTTAGAGTCTTCCAGAATCCTTCGGAATCCCCAAAGGGAGGGATGCCTATATTAACCTTTTATTGTTGAAGAGCCAAGCATTCTTCTGGCCAAACTCCCTATAGGTGAAATGAATGACATCATGGACTTGCAGGCCGCACCAGTCCCTAGTGATGAAGGCAAATGACAGGTTGATTTTTTAGCATTGTCTTTCAAAACCAGATCCAACATCCTTCATACCAGCTAGTATGGGCATAGCAGTTAGCATTTGACACATTTGAATAAAGGCTATTTTGACTCTTTTAAACACCTGGCTTTCCATGGTTGTCAAGCTCATGTAGCTCTTGATCGTTTAGATGTGTGTGTGTGTGTGTGTGTGTGTGTGTGTGTGTGTGTGTGTGTGTATATAACAGTTGAAAGCTTTTTGTTTTATATTCAGCAAAGTGGGTTTATGTTCAGGATCCTTTTGTGCCTCAGTTTAATTTCCCTTTTCTTTACACAGGAAGTAGGTATGCCAGCTGATTATGTAAATAAGCTGGCAAGAATGTTCCAGGATATCAAAGTATCTGAAGATTTGAACCAAGCCTTCAAAGAAATGCACAAAAATAATAAGCTGGCCCTTCCAGGTACTATTTAATTGTGTTTTATTTGATTGTTATGGTTTGCTATGTTTTATTTTAATTGTATTTTTTGTTTTTAATGGATTGTTTTTGCTTTGATGTTTTTGTTTTGATGTTCTGTGATGTTCCAACATTGTGTCCCATGTGTATGCCATCCCAAGTCCCTTCGGCGAGGTGGTGGCAGGGTACAAAAATAAAGTTGTTGTTGTTATTTCTCAGTTTTCTTCTTCCCGTTAACAGTTTATGACTTGCATTTCAATTAACTGTTCCAATAATGTTCGCATCAATTTTTTTTGCACAGCTGATTCTGTGAATATCAAAATTTTAAATGCTGGAGCCTGGTCCAGAAGTTCTGAAAAGGTGTTTGTATCACTTCCTACGGAATTAGAAGACCTCATTCCAGAGGTAGAAGAGTTCTACAAAAAGAACCACAGTGGCAGGAAGCTTCACTGGCATCATCTTATGTCCAATGGCATTGTATGTATATGTGCATTGCTCGTTTCACCAAACTGGAAATAAGATTGTGCTTAATATAGAGGGATTAATCAATTTTTGGTCTTGTTTTTTGGTCTTGTTAACAGATAACTTTTAAGAATGAAGTTGGCCAGTATGATTTGGAGGTAACAACATTTCAGCTGGCTGTCCTTTTTGCATGGAACCAAAGACCCCGAGAGAAGATCAGCTTTGAAAATCTCAAATTGGCAACAGAACTCCCTGATGCAGAGCTTAGGAGAACTTTGTGGGTATGTCTCCAGCTCTTTAAAAAGCTTTTAAAAAATTCCATGAGAACCAATGTGCGAAGTTTTGAAACAGAGCACATGGGTAATTTAGTCTGTCATTGTTTTGTTTGTTTTTTTAACAAAATAGTATGATACACTGAGTGGAAGCAAAGGAGGATTATTTCTTCTTGTAAATTGATGGTGGTGGTCTTAAGGTAAATCTTTGCTAATGTTAACTACATTTTTTTGTTTGAATAAATGCTAAACTAGTTAATAGGAGTTGAAAACTAAAACTTTCAGTCTCCTCTATTTGCAACCATGCCAGATGAAGAGATAGGAAAAGTCTGCAAAGCCAAGACTTACTGTGATTTGTTTTTATCCAGTAAACCAAGTTCTGCCCACTTAGTATGAGTTGGGTGGATATCATGGAATTTGCATCTGGAGGGCACCAAATTTGGAGGAAAATGTACTGACTTATGGTGTAGTTCGATTCATTCTTTCTGTTTGCAAAGGGATTAAAAATAATTGAAACAGATATTTCCTTAGTTTATTTATTACAGTACTTATATTCCGCCCTTCTCATCTTGAAGGGGATTCAGGGTGGATCACAGAACACACATATGCCAAACATTCAATGCCAATTATACAATGACAAGACAGACAACAGACAGAGGTATACATAGGCTTTTTCCCATCATTCGGCCACAGGGGGTGCTGTTGCTCTATCTCCTTGCTGAAGAGCTTTCTTTGTAAACTTTTCCTCCGACCACTGTGCCTAAAAAACCTCCCCGCTTAATGCAGTTCCTATTCATCTACTCACATTGTTGTTTTCGATCCATTAGGTGGGCAGGGAGCCGGGCTGAAGGTCAGGAGTTCACCCTGACCTGGCTTCGAACTGTCAACCTTTCAGTTGGCAAGATTTACTGCAGCTGCAGCTGGTGATTGACCTGCAGTGCCAAAGTTTTTTGGGTTTTTTTTCTTTTGCTCTCTCCCCTCTTGGACATCTAACATTGTTTTATATGTCATATAAATATGTGATTAAATGTTTGGTTTTTAAGAGCTTGTTAAAATTCGTAAAATAGACTGAAGAGCACATTATTAATTGCCTACACTGACAATTGCATTTCATCCCCCCTCTATCTCTTTTCTTCTCAACAGTCTCTTGTAGCATTTCCAAAGTTGAAACGTCAGGTTTTGTTATATGAACCTCAAGTCAATTCACCCAAAGACTTTACAGAAGGAACCCTCTTCTCAGTCAACCAGGAGTTCAGCTTAATGTAAGACATATTGCCGGTTTATTCCATAAACAGAAACATATCAGAAAAGAAAAAAAATCACATTTTAAAATTTAATAGTTCAGCTGTTCTTAACGTTAATTTCCAAAATAATGTTAAGTCAGTGTAAAACTTATAATGCCTGATCTAGTTATGTTTGACAATTGTTTTCCGTTGTTGGTTTTAAGGTACTGCTGGAGTGCAGACAATTGTTAACTATCACTAGAACTATCCTGTTTATATTTTCTCTTTTACTATATATCCCACAAACGATATGAAAAAAACCCAAATCTTATTTTATTCTTCCATTTTTTCATGATTGTTTTGTTACAGGTTTTTTTTCCCTAGAGGCTAGGAAATATATTTTTGAATCTGTCTTCAAAAACAGAAACCAAAAAGCTCCCTCCCTAAATATTACAGTTCCTTTCAGTGCAGCTTGTGGGTAATTTTGTATTGCTCATACATTGCATGAAGCAGGTCTGTCAACATATGTCCCAAATGAGGTCCAAAGTCTCATTTTTGGACCTCAAATGAGGTCCAAAGTCTCATTTCTATCCTCAAGGATTCTAGCAAAGTAGCCCACAACTTGACTTTATCAAACCATTTCTGTGTGGTTCTTAGAGAAAGTGAGTCCTTGGTTCTATTTGTCTAAGGTAGTGGTTCTCAACCTGTGAATCCCCAGGTGTTTTGGCCTACAACTCCCAGAAATCCCAGTCAGTTTACCAGCTGTTAGGATTTCTGGGAGTTGGAGGCCACATCTGGGGACTCACAGGTTGAAAACTACTGGTGTAAGCTGTCTGTTAGGCTTTCAGAAAATACTGGAAGGCAGAACTGAGCCAGTGCGTTTATAAGAGGAAAGTTACTTCCCATCCTTTCTTTTCACTTGTCATTATTCTTTGGTTTCTCAGAAAATAGGACGTATTTTGTTGCAATGTGAGAGCGTTTGATGGTCCCTATGTAGACTTGTATCAAGACTTTTCATTACATCTATATTAAGAAATTGGATTGGCCCATCTTTCAACAACAACCCATGAAAGGCACTGCAGACTACTTCAACCAGAGAAATTAGCCATAACAGAGCACCTGATGAACCAACCTGGACACAGCATTTTATTTGAGAACACAGAAATGCTGGACCACTCTCACAACCACCATGTCAGACTACACAGAGAAGCCATTGAAATCCACAAGCATGTGGACAATTTCAACAGAAAGGAGGAAACCATGAAAATGAACAAAATCTGGCTACCAGTATTAAAAAAAAACTCTAAAATTACAACAGCACAACAACAGAGAGGAAACAAACAAGGACATCTAATCACCTCTCAACAAAAGTTTGCTCCAGGCACTGTCAGGCCATTATATGCTAATCAAGGTGGTCAGTTGAAACATTCACACCTAGCTCCAGCAGACAAGAATCCTTTGTCTTACCCTGGTCATTCCATAGATATATAAACCATTTTTCCTAGTTCCAACAGACCTCACTACCTCTGAGGATGCTTGCCATAGATGCAAGCAAAACGTCAGGAGAGAATGACTCTAGACCATGGCCATATAGCCCGAAAAAACCTACAACAACCCAGTGATTCCGGCCATGAAAGCCTTCGACAATACAATAACTACATTTCTTCATAGTAAAGAACTGGGTCCAAGCTACTTTACCCATCTCTTCTAAGGTTTCAGAGAGAGGGGAAAAACACCAATCACTACATCTCTCTGACACACATGCAGAGAGAGATCTCAAAGCACACAGCACATACTCAGTTGTAAGAAAATGAAGTCAGATTTTTAAAAGGCTTGCAGTAGAAAAGTGTCAATTATACACAACTTGGGCATTGTGGGGTTGAATTCCAATATTATCAAGCTTTGATTGAGTCTAGGTTGAATTTTGTTAGTTTTGAGATGTGTAAGCAGCCTGTTTTCTGTTGGAAGCACCTGAACCAATCTGAAGAATCTTTTTGCTTGGTATTTTGCTAAAACCAGTGTACATCTCTGAGATTCAGAAAGTAAAAATGAATTCCTCTGTGTTTCTCGTTAAAAGATTTGGGATATTAGGATTTGGAAATACCTTTGTGTGAGAATCCTGATTGCTTCTGACGGTTAGGACTAGGCAGGATGTGGTAGGTTAGATTACTTAGATTTTTTTGACCTCATGTTTCATTCTTTCAGAAAAAATGCTAAAGTTCAAAAAAGAGGTAAGATAAACCTAATTGGTAGACTACAGCTAACTACAGAGAGAATGCGAGAAGAAGAAAATGAAGGGATAGTCCAATTAAGAATATTACGAACCCAGGTATGTTACCAGTCCACTTCAATTTACTAACATTGATACCGTTCTCCTATTGCATGATTTTTAAAAAAAATCCTGCTGCTTAATAGACATAACTTGTGATATGCTCTTGGAAAGTGTTTTAGTCCCTGGCAGTCTCATTCCTCCACCCGTCCTGGGATATCTAATTAAACAAAAATGGGACTGACACTTTAGGATGTAGTTATTTATATTTAACTGTCTCACTTTGTGATCAAAGAAGTTCCTCTAATTAGGCAAGTTAAAATTAATTTTGTCATTGAATGAAAGAGCTAGCATAAGAAAATGTCAGTGCATACAACTTAAAAAAGAAAGGGAACACAAACTCCTCTGAAATTAACAATGTGAGTGATACAGTTGAGTAGGAGGAGAAATGTAACTTCTTGAAAATGTCTGCTGTAATATTTATTTAATGATTTATTCCCCATACTTTTACCCTCTCCTTTTCACACCGAATTTCACAACCGGCAACAATTTGATGCCCAACAAACAAACAGATTCCAAAAAATAACAAGTACAAGCTTTGCTTATCTTCTTCAATGTATATCCAAAATGATCTTTTCTTCCTTTCTTGCTTTCCCTGTTGCTTAGGAGGCTATCATCCAAATAATGAAAATGAGGAAGAAAATTACTAATGCTCAACTTCAGACTGAACTAGTAGAGATATTAAAAAACATGTTCTTACCACAGAAGAAAATGATAAAAGAGCAGATTGAATGGCTTATAGAACACAAATATATCAGAAGAGATGAATCAGATATCAACACTTTTATATACATGGCATAGTGTGAAGACTCTTACAGGAAGATGCAGAGAAATGTGTAATGAAGGTGGTTTGGGCGAACGAAACTACAAAACGGACTGCTGGAGAAGGACTAGTTTGACTTGCATTACATATTCAGATCCCTGCCTTACCTTTCCAGAGGACTTTGTTTTGCCAACCTTTTTTTCAGCTAGCATGATGGCATTTCCCTTCATGTTGCACACGTTTTTAACAGCATGATGTTTTTTGTTGGGGGAACTTTACATTCATGGAGAGCCCATTGTGAGTTTTTTAAAGGTTTGATTTGAACTCATTTGGAACAGAAAATATTTGGGTTTTTCTTAGAGGAACAGTACTTGCACAAGGAAAGTATCTTCACTTATTCATGCACTGAAGAACTGTTAAATTTTCACATTCAAACAAACAAACAAATGGGACTAGATGTAGCACTTCCCAATTTGTGTTTTGGATCAACAGCCTAAATATATTTTCCCAATTTTGATCTCTGTGTGTGTATAAAATGTGAGCAAGACACAAATACATGACAGCTGAAGATATATATTTAACTGTTGGCTCAATCAAGTGCTTCAATATAACAGTGGATTTTGAATATTGAGAAATAAGTGATGCTAAACAAAATATATCAAATATTTCACCGTTCTTTGCAGAACTTGGGTAAATTTGTGTTTATTGGACAGATGGTTTGTTTCAGTACCCTCCATTTTTAAGAGACAGAGGTGGTGCTTCATCTTTAAGAAATGTGTTTCATGGATCAGTCTGCTATGGTGAAACAAAAGGAAATATTAAGTGTATTTCTTTGTACATTTAATATTTGTATTTACTGTTTTAGTATGCTTCTGAATGCATTAATTATAGCTGGTGCACAAATCCCCCAAAATAGAAATTAACGTTTTGACAATCCCTATACATTTTCTTCCTTTGATTATTTATTTGAATATATGTAATACAGTTTTATGCTGGAAAAAAAGCCTGACTGTGTGGAAGAAGGCAATTCTTATTTGACCCATTTGACATGCATATGTGGACAGAGTGACACAAATCTTAACAGGCTTATAAGGCTTGTCTACCAAAAACAGTTGCAGCCAACATCGTTTACTTGAGTGGATTGTGCCCTTGTTCTTTTTCTTTATTAAATATCTGTTTCAGCATTAAAGAAACAAAGGAACCCACACTAAGGCTTTAGAGCAGTGGTTCTCAACTTGTGGGTCCCCAGGTGTTTTGGTCTGCAATTCCCAGAAATCCCAGCCAATTGTTAGGATTTCTGGGAGATGAAGACCAAAACATCTGGGGACCTACAGGTTGAGAACCAGTGCTTTACAGCAAAGTTTGATTTACTGCAATCAAAGCAATTACTACATCAACATTTCAAACAAATGCTAATAATGAAGCAAATGCTAAGGAATGTCTCCTTCACCCATCCCTGAGTAACTGCTGAGTTGCTTCTTTGTCTAGATGCTCTGAATTTTCCATCATGTTCTAGATCCCTTGCAATGGTTTCAATGCCACCAGCATATGAAGAAAGTAACGAAAAAGGAAGGGAGAAAAAATGTTTTTATTGTACTACTACTATACACAAGAATGCATCTGTGTAAAGCTCCCTTTCAGATTGTAGTGACCCAGAACAGTCGTCCTTCCCTTTTGGTGGTTAGTGGTTATGCAAACCAATCTTATGTGTTGCTGTTTATTGGCTGCAGAATGAGATCAAACGGATTGTGATAGAGGTAAAACGATTCTGGTAAGTGGGTTGTTGTAGGTTTTTTCGGGCTATATGGCCATGTTCTAGAGGCATTTCTCCTGGTAAGAGCAGCAAAGATTTACTCTTTTGGGAACACAAAAGTCAGTAACTACAACATACCAGCTTCTAAATATCACATAATGTTGGGATAGAGCAGGCATGGGCAATCATCAGCCCTCCAGGTGTTTTGGACTTTAACTCCCACAATTCCTAACAGCCCCAGGCCCTTTCCTTTTCCCTTTCAGCTTAAGCAGCTGAAGGGGAAAAGGAAGTGGCCTGAGGTTGCTAGGAATTGTGGGAGTTGAAATCCAAAACACCCAGAGGGCCGAAGTTTGCCTATGTCTGAGATAGAAAACAGAGACAGTGTGTGAACAGCAAGCCTCAATGGATCTGTAAAACAGGGAGATAATAATAGGGTAGTGATTTAAAATCGTTACTTCCTGGCATTTTCTGTTATTTGTAGAATACAGAACAATATATTTTAAAATGTTCAAACTTGAATTAGAATTGCAGAATTTCAGCTTAAAATAGTTGTGTACAAGACTTAAAGAAAACGTTTTGCTACTTATCAAACACTCAATATATGTTCGTGGGAAGAACACTATCGTTGTTTTCCCACTGGCCTTCTGCATTTGACTGGAAGTACATAGGAAATTAAATTCAATAGAATACTATGCGTCCCATTAAATTACTTCGACAGAGTGGTTTTAAACTTTATGCTTCCTATTAAATTCGAATGTGCACTAGGAGGTATGATATATTATAATGAGCTCAAATCAGATTAAATTTCTTAGTACTATTCAGACATTAGAAACCTTAAGACTTAATTCATTTTTTTAAAAAAATTCCAAGCAGTGCAAATGTTTCTGATGGGATTGTGGCTCTTCAAAACTGCCCCCTGCTCTATCCTTCAAGCTCCTTGCACCCCATAGAAATGAAGCATCCGTTGCAGCACAAAGGCTTGTGTTTTGAAGGGGAAATTGCCCCAAATCCATGTACATGTGGAAGCACTTTAGGAGCACAGGTGGGGCTGTTGCGGTCTCTTCTGTCCTGTTCGTTTCCATAGAAGGAAAATACTGAGTGCTCACTTTGTGTCCATCTCATGATTCTTTCACATGAAAGCCAATTCAATGTGTTTAAGGCCAGGGAATTAAAACAGACAATGTGCCTATAAAGTGGATCAGGGTTTTTCTTTTTCTTTTTTTTCCTTTTTTTTTCCTGTCTGTGGGAACAGCATGTCATGCAAAACACTGAATCTGAAAATCACACCAGCAATTTCCTTACAGCTGCAGAATCACCTTTTCGCATCCTTTGTTCAGGACACTTTCACCAAGATGCCCTTAAGGCTAAGGTTATCAGGAATGGTAATATATATATAGTATGCAGAAGTATGAAAACATCCAAATCTTTTCTTTAAAAAAATAAATAAACAGTCGTTGCAATATGGCAACATGACACTTTTAAAGCTGATTTTTAGCTTTGGATGTTTTTTCTCCAAAGACTTAGCATTAAAGAGGTGCTGCTTCTGAAAAATGTGTGTTGCCACAAGCACTGCCATTGTGGTTTGTATTAAGTAATACTATAGATGTGAAAAATAATGTAGGTTGCTTTGATTTTTTAAATACAGGTGTTTTTGACACAGCCAATGAGGTTCACACTTAATTTTGAAGTCTTCCATTTATTTTCCTTTATTCCTCTGCTGCCCCTCATTTCCTACCTATTCCTTTGCTTAAGCCTGTTCTTGTTGGAGCATAGTATAGGTAAATTTAATTTTTAGTGGTGGCTTTTCCCCTTTTAAAGAAAGAGCAACGTGACTTGAGTAGTCAAACACTTTGAATTTATTTGCATTACACTCTCTGTTGTTAAAAGGTACAGATTTTTAAAAATGCAGTCGAGATACATATTTGGTAGCTTCACAGAAAGATTTGGTACCTTGAGTGCAAACCTGTTTTCTATTTTCATGGAACCGACTGGGATGCTTTCTTGTAAATTCAAGGTCCTGTTTGTGAAATAAAACAAGAGCTCGGGAGCTTTTCTGTTCATAGACTATATGTAGCCTGGAGTGCAGCGCAAATTGAGTTTCCTAGGTTGTAATATCTCTTGTCGACATATGGTTATCTAAAGTTTTGAATGTGTGCCACTACATACTAGATAATGCTGTACAATTTTGACTGGTAGCAGATTTTTCCTTGTATGGCAGTCTGGCTGAACTATTTTGATGTACTGCTTAATTTGGGGGATTTTATTTTTTAAGTTGTATAATTTATTTTCTTGCAAAAATAAAAATGTAATATAAAATATTACGAAAGAATCAAAACAATTTGGGTATTTTCTCCAGAACCTTTCATAAACGGTTAAGTACAGGAATCCCATAGTGAAATGTCTGCAAAAATCCAAGACATGAGGTAAGCCCAGATACAAATATGAATTCCTCTCCATTTTAAAAGCTATACCTTCCATAGGACAAATCTGAACATTATGATGGGAGTGCGGATGCCATTTCCGATCTTTATGTTTATCAGTGGTTCCCAACTTGTCCCCAAGAACTAAAATATGGTCCGCGGCCTCACCCTTACAAGAGTGGTTTCGTGAAACCTTCTTTTAGTGCTAAGGCAACATGGATGTTGGGAAGGGAGAGGCTGACTACCCACGAAAGGCGTCGCAACAAACCTAACTGCTGCTTCTCCCTCCCTCCCACTGAGCAGAGCTGTTCTATTTGGTGCCGAAGTGGCGGCACCTTGGTATTTTCATTTTTAGGCCTGTTCCTGGGGTTATTTGGGATGCTGATTCAGAAAATTGCATCCACTAGATAATTAAATATGGCTTTCTGTGGGCAAGCAAATAGCGACTATTGGATGGCATAAGTTCTGTATCAGAAACTAGAGCTGATATTGTCTATCCAATGAATTTTTCTGAATCGGCACCCCAAATAACCAAACCAAATCTAAAGTTGACCAAAAGCTTATTTGTAACTCTTTTGGTACTAATGTTGGAGAGTGGTCCCTGGTCCAAGTGGTCCATGGTCAAAAAAAGGGTGGGAACCACTGCTGTATATCAAGGAAAGAAAAAGAGAAAATATGTACACCGTGCATCTAATCAACTAGACCAGACTGTACAAATACAATTGTATCTCGACTACCAGTTATTAATTTCTGAGCTCTAAGATATTCCAAATATGCAACTAAACTGGTTTTTAAAACTGAGAAAACTGGTTTGAATAAGATGATGATGATGATGATGATGATGATGATGAGGGGGTTGTCTGGAAAGTAAGGTTACAACGCACGTAGCTCTTGCAGGGAATTTTCGCTGGGGAAGTTGCTTTCACTGGCATGTAGCAGGAAGCAAGCGGAAGCGAACGAGCAGTGCCAGTCGTCAATAGCTCATCATCTGGCATTGTGAAAATTAGAGATAAGTGTCCTCATTCCGTTTCCCTCCAACTGTGAAGTTTGCGCTGTAATACACTACCTAAATGATAAAGACATGAATGCTGCTGCGATTCATCGCAAAATCATTTGAGTTTATAGAGAGGCTATAATGTCAAGACAGCATGTGACAAAATGGGTACGAAATATGTTGTGACACTATGAAGAAACTTCACAGAGCCATCCAAAACAAACGTCGTGGGATGCTGATGGCGGGAATCTGTCTCGTTCATGACAATGTGCGTCCTCACACTGCTCATGCGACACAAGAGTTGTTGACTTCATTTGGTTGGGATGTTTTAAGCCACCCCTGTCACAGCCCCGATCTCACACCCAGTGATTATCATCTGTTCACTACATCTATAGAAGGCATCCTCAGAGGTTGTGAGGTCTTGGAAACTAGCAAATGGGGTTTATATATCTGTGGAATGTCCAGGGAGAGAGAAAGAACTCTTGTCTGCTTGAGGCATGTGTGAATGTTGCAATTGGCCAGATTGATTAGCATTTAATGGCCTTGCAGCTTCAAAGCATGGCTGCTTCCTGCCTGGAGAATGTTGTTGGAAGGTGGTAAATGGCACTGATTGATTCTTGTCTTGAGTTCCCCTGTTTTCTGAGTGTTGTTCTTTATTTACTGTCCTGATTTTAGAGTTTTTAAATACTGGTAGCCAGATTTTGTTCATTTTCATGGTTTCTTCCTTTCTGTTGAAATTGTCCACATGCTTGTGGATTTCAATGGCTTCTCCGTGTAGCCTGACATGGTGGTTGTTAGTGTGGTCCAGCATTTCTGTGTTCTCAAATAATATGCTGTGTCTAGGTTGATTCATCAGGTGCTCTGCTATGGCTGACTTCTCTGGCTGACTTAGTCTGCAATGCCTTTCACGTTCCTTGATTCGTGTTTGCTGAAGGTAGCATTTGTTGTATTTTCTTAGTAGTCTGTATAGTTTGTAGGTTGTGTTTCTTCATCAGCTTGTCTATGTGGTCTGTGGTTCCCTTGATGTATGCTAAGAACACTTTTCTTCTAAGTGGATCATTGTCTTTACTCTTGTGGCTTATTCTTGGTCTTACAGCTCTTCTGATGCCTGTGGTGAGTATCCATTGGCCGACATTAGTTCTTTCTCCCACCCTGGACATTCCACAGATATATAAACCCCACTTGCCTAGTTTCCAACAGACCTCACAACCTCTGAGGATGCATCCCATAGATGTGGGCAAAACATCAGGAGAGAATGCTTCTGGAACATAGCCATACAGCCCAGAAAACTCACAGCAACCCAGTGATTCTGGCCATGAAAGTCTTCGACAACACAATGATGATATCTGTCAATCAAAAAAGTGTAGGATCAAAAACTGCTAAACTTTGGCTGGTACTGAATGTGGGTTAAAAAACTGGATTTACTTATACCTATGCATACTATTAAAGTAGTTTTTTGGGGTGGAAAGCAGAGTATATCTTGTATGGAATTGCTTTACTACATTAACATGCCATGCTCAAAGCAATCTTAATTTGGCCGCTCTTCTTTATTATGATTTTTTTGCTAACTTGCTAAAATAATGTTTACATAGTTTGGATCCCTTTGTAAACATAACCAAAAGAACTTTGCTTTTTATTGCCCGGCCTTCTTTTACAGCCGGTAATAGGCTCCGAGGACTTTGCTGTGTGCTCTCATCTAAGCAATAGAGCAGCTATCGTTTCAATTGTAAACACAACGAAGTGTCTCAATCCAGTCCATTGCGAAAACAAGTCCTTTCAGTCAAGTCCGAAGGGCTGGTCCTGGATTCCTTGAATTGTAGAACTGTAGAAAGGGTGCATCTACATGGCATAATTAATGCAGTTTCGCACCACTTTGCCATGGCGCAATGCTATGAAAACATGAGAATTGCAGTTTGGCGTGGCTCCCTTTGGCAGAGAAGGCCTTTGTAAAATGACAACTTTCATAATTCTCTAGCATTGAGCCATAACAGATAAAGCGATGGGATTCTTCAGAAGTCTTGGAACAGTTTGGATGGCCATCTTCCAGGAAGGCTTTAGTGGTGTATTTTTGAAGGGTGACCCCACAGAAATACACCACTAAAGCCTTCCTGGAAGATAGCCGTTCAAACTGTTCCAAGACTTCTGAAGAAGGAGAGCCCACCACCATTCAAGGTTGATTATTCCAGTGTCAAACAACACTTAGCATCAAGGATGTTTCTCCTATAAGGTTCAGACAGAATTCTCATTTCTGTCTCACCCATTAGAATTCAATTGGCTCTGGGTCTTTTCTTGGCCTGGGTACAATATTTGTCTATTCATGCAAACCTTGATTTTACTTTATTTTTTGCTGTTGACTCATGTCTACCTTCTGGCTCCGGTGATATTTAGGTGCATTGGATTACTTGATTAAAATGTTCCTATGGTGGACAACGAAGCTTTTCCTTGCACCGCTCTCCCTATTGAATCACTTCCTGCTATTGCGTTTGTGGGATATTATTATTGTAGAGGTAATGGTGCAATGGCGCTCCAGAACTCTGCACGAAGTCAGGAGCCCCCTTGGGCTCGTGAGGGCAGTGAAAAGGAAAGTTGAATTACAACTGCAGAAGCTTTATTGCAGGCCAAAGCAATAGGCGACAGCAGGGTGCCCACAGCACAAAATGGGGTTGTGAGGCTTTTTATCACTTTACAGTGGCACAGTGAGTTAAACCCTTCAGTGCCGGTAGGACTGAAGACCAACGGCACAGGTTCAAATCCGGGGAAAGAACGGATGAGCTCTTTCTGTCAGCTCCAGCTCCCCATGCTGGGACATGAGAGAAGCATCGCACAAGGATGATAAAACATCAAAACATTTGGGCGTCCCCTGGGCAACGTCCTTGCAGACGGCCAATTCTCTCATACCAGAAGCGACTTGCAGTTTCTCAAGTCACTCCTGACATGGGGGGGGGGGGTCGTTAAAGAAAGTCAAAAGCACATTGTCATTGGTGCACAGAGATCAATTATTTCATTGGTCTAAGCTGGCTAATACAGATTTTGGGGTGTTGTAGGTTCTCTGGGCTATATGGCCATGTTCTTTGACAAGCTGGAATGTGTCCAGAGGAGGGCAACTAAAATGATCAAGGGTCTGGAGAACAAGCCCTATGAGGAACGGCTTAAGGAGCCGGGCATGTTTAGCCTGAAGAAGAGAAGGCTGAGAGGGGATATAATAGCCATGTATAAATATGTGAGAAGAAGCCACAGGGAGGAGGGAGCAAGCTTGTTTTCTGCTTCCCTGGAGACTAGGACGTGGAACAATGGCTTCAAACTACAAGAGAGGAGATTCCATCTGAACCTGAGGAAGAACTTCCTGACTGTGAGAGCCGTTCAGCAGTGGAACTCTCTGCCCCGGAGTGTGGTCGAGGCTCCTTCTTTGGAAGCTTTTAAACAGAGGCTGGATGGCCATCTGTCAGGGGTGCTTTTAATGCAATATTCCTGTTTCTTGGCAGGGGGCTGGACTGGATGGCCCATGAGGTCTCTTCCAACTCTATGATTCTAGAAGCATTCTCTCCTGACGTTTCGCCTGCATCTATGGCAAGCATCCTCAGAGGTTGCGAAGTCCTTGATGTACACCTGGAGGGCCGGAATTTGCCTGTACCTAATCCACACTGTTGAATTAATGTAGTTTGACTTTCACAGACATAGCTTAAGGCTCTGGGTTGATGGGAGTTGTAGTTTTTACAAACTCCTTGGTCTCTAGGTTCTTGTGGGGTTTTTTTTGGGCTATAGGGCCATTGTTCTAGAGGCATTTTCTCCTGACGTTTCGCCTGCATCTATGGCAAGCATCCTCAGAGGTTGTGAGGTCTGTTGGAATTAGGACAATGGGTTTATATATCTGTGGAATGGCTGGGGTGGGGCAAAGAGCTCTTCTCTGCTGGAGCTAGGTGTGAATGTTTCAACTGACCACCTTCATTAGCATTTGAAGGCCTGGCTGAGCCTGGGAAAATCTTTTGTTGAGAGGTGTTAAAATGTGCCTGGTTGTTTCCTCTCTGCTGTTTTGGTCTCTCTTTGCCATTCTGTATTGGTGCTTCATCAAACTACAGATCCCATGATATTGCTGCAGCTTGGCACCACTTTAAATGCCATAGCTCAATGCCAAGGAATCAGTCTGCTAGGAATTGTGGGAGTTGAAGTCCAAAACACCTGGAAGGCCCTAGTTGGCTCCCACCTCTCTTCCTCCTTTTATTGCCCTTCACTAATAGGAAAGGTTGGTCAACCACGCCCACTTTTCACCTCAAGGACCGCCCACTTATTGACGCCATCCTCCCTCCTCCAATAGGAGAGCGCCTCGTTTGCCACTCCCCTTTCCTCGCGGCTTAACACGTTGCCCCAACCGTCACACCCCCTCCTGCCTGTCAAACTGGAGGATGGGAATGAAAACCAGCGAGGATTCAGCACTGCGCTCCTATTGGCTGGATTAAGGGGCGGGGCGTGGCGCATGCGTCGCTCGCGTGCTCTAGAGGGGGGGGGGTTGAGAGGCGGGGACGCCTGCGCTTGCGCTCTGCGGCTTGCTTTGATTGTCAAGAGAGGGTCGCATCACTCGCTGCTGCTGAGACCGAAGATGTTGGGCGGACGGCAAGTGCGGAAGGCGCTTCGGGTGAGAGAGAGGCTCCTTTCCCCGCCTTCCCTGGACCAAGGGAGTCTAGTCAGGGCTCCTGCCCCATCCAAGGGCCCCTCAGGGAATTGAAGGCCTTCTCTATGTCCCTCAGGCCTGCTCTTTCCTAAGCGTTTCCCCAAAGAACCATTTCTCAGGGACTAGGCCAGGCCTAGGACGCCTGTTGTGATTAATTGCCTGCAACTCCATTTCTGACTAAGGAAGGCAAGACCTCCAAGTCACCCCTATCATGTCATAACATGTCATGGCACAATTTGAAAAGCTCTAAAGACCATAGAGCAGGCAGAAGTCACCTGTTGACCTACAGGGGCACCGCATGAATGAAGAAATTCTCAATAAGTGGATTTCCCAGTTCCTTCCTCTGAAATATAACCTACAGCACTAGGTGTTTGTTGGTGGGCATGAGAAACAGGGCCTTCTCAGTGCTGGCCTCGGCTGTAGAATCTCTCCTCAGTGACATTAGATCAGCTGCTGACTGGAGCTAATTCTAGGGAACATACTACCCAGATACTAAAGCAGCTCCACTGGCTGCCTATATGTTTCCAGGCCCAATTCAAAGTGCAGGCTATTATGTACAAAGCCCTATACGGTTCAGATCCAGCCTATTTACGGCACCGCATCTCGCCCTATGAACCTGTTCAAACATTAAGATGTGCTGGGGAGGCCTTCCTCACGGTCCCACCTCTGTTACAAGCATGGTTGGTGGGGGCAAGGCCTTCTCAATTGTGGCCCTCTGGCTCTGGAACAACCTTCTGAGGAAGATTAGGCAAACTCCCACACTTTTGACTTTTTGGAAGTAATTAATAACCTGGCTTTTTAAACAGGCCTTTGACGATGGTTAATGCAATATCCAATGGTTGGAGGATTTAAATGGGACTAAGTTTTAATTGGATTTTCACTCTTTTGACCACATTAGTGGTTGAGATATAGCATAACTACTGTTTATTTTTATTTATGAATGTTGGTTGTCTGTGTCAATTTAACATGTTGTTTTATTTCTATATTATTTTGTGTCAATATTTTTGTTGATTTAAGTTAATTTTGTTGTATATCATAATAATGATTGTTTATGGTTTGCACTGTTATTTTGTTGTAAGTCGTCCCGAGTCCCCTTGGGAAGATGGGGCGGGATACAAATAAATTATTATTATTATTATTTGATTTTTTAACAGTCCATGGTATTCCAGCTCCATGTTCCAAATGTTAGTTACCGTAATTGTCCTCCCATCATCTTTCTTCACTGCCCAGTTTTCACAAACATATATAGGAATGGGAAATATGATGACATGGACAATTCAGACTTTAGTATTCAGTGATGAGTGCGCATTCAGAAGAAGATCTACAAGCCACTCTCAACACCTTTGCAGAAGCATACGAGAAGCTCGGCCTGTCATTGAACATTGAAAAAACCAAGGTGCTGTTCCAGCAGACACCAGCCAACCTCTCTCCAATGCCAGTGATACAGCTTAATGTTGTAACATTAGAAAATGTTGATCATTTCCACTACCTTGGCAGCCACCTCTCCACCAAAGTCAACATCGACACCGAAATACAACACCGCCTGAGCTCTGCGACTGCAGCATTTTTCCGAATAAAGCAGAGAGTGTTTGAGGACCGGGACATCCATAGGGATACCAAGGTGCTTGTTTATAGAGCTATTGTCCTCTCAACCCTGCTATATGCCTGCGAAACGTGGACTGACTACAGACATCACATGCAACTCCTGGAACGATTCCATCAGCGCTGCCTCCGGAAAATCCTGCAAATCTCTTGGGAAGACAGGCGGACAAACGTCAACGTTCTGGAAGAAGCAAAGACCACCAGCATTGAAGCGATGGTCCTCCGCCATCAACTCCGCTGGACCGGCCACGTAGTCCGGATGCCTGACCACCGCCTCCCAAAGCAGTTGCTCTACTCCGAACTCAAGAACGGAAAACGGAATGTTGGTGGACAGGAAAAGAGATTTAAAGATGGCCTCAAAGCCAACCTTAAAAACTCTGGCATAGACACTGAGAACTGGGAAACTCTGGCCCTTGACCACTCCAGCTGGAGGTCAGCTGTGACGAGCAGTGTTGCAGAGTTTGAAGAGGCACAAATGAGGGTGAAAGGGAGAAGCGTGCCAAGAGGAAGGTGCATCAAGCCAACCCCGACCGAGACCGCCTCCCACCTGGAAACCAATGCCCTCACTGCGGAAGAAGACGCAGAGCAAGAATAGGGATCCATAGTCACATACAGACCCACAAGAATACTGGAAGACAATCCTCCTTGGAAAACGAAGTATCACCTAAAATTCAGTGATATACCTTGACACTTAAATATCTTGTCCAGTTTCATCACAGATGCATTAACACTAGCAATTTAATCTTTACAAAATCCCACCAGAGGTAGCTAGTCAGTATTAGGTTAATATCGTTATTAGGATCAGCCAAATAGTTAAGACTGATGCTGATCTGTTAAATTGAATTCTTCATCTTTTTCTAGGATGACAGTAGCCAACTTGTTGATGCGTATTGTATTTTGTTAGGTAACCCCCCCCCCCCCAATGTTTTAAGTTGTCTTCTTCTCTGCTGAGGAGTTGTCCAAAAGTAGCCTATTTCATGCTAATTTGATACAGTCCAGAATTCTGTCATTTCTGAGTTCTGTGCTGTTGTTTTGATGTATCTGCAAAGGTGGTTTAAGTGCTGCTGCTCCCTTCCTTCTCATCTCAGCTGCCTAGCTAAACAATTTGTTGAAGTTGCTGTAAGGGAAGAAACTTGGGATTGTTTGTGCTCTAAATCTTTCCTCTTTTTTAAAATGTGAGATTAAAAAAAATTACTGTTAGGCTTTCATAGTGTGTGTGGTTTTCCTTATCTTGTTCTTGAGGATACACTCTTTTGACATACTGAAGCTCCTTAGTATGTGTTTGTGTGTGTGTGTGTGTGTGTGTGCAAGCCTGAGGTGGAAACTTTTGGCATAGACTTTAAGACATGAGGGTCACTATCAGACAAAGATTGGTGACAGGGTAGGATTTATTGAGCTACTAAGTACTACAATACTGGGGGATAATACAGGGAAGGTGTTCATATGCCTCAGATAATTTACTTGAAAATCAGTGTTCTCATATAGGGTGCTATCTTGGGACTTCTTTTTAGTATGTCGTTGTTCACAGTAGCAAAGGTTATCAGGCAGAGCAAATGTTTGTTAATCTAAACTGCTAAGTGGGGCAAAAGTCATAGGACTAAAAGGTTAAGTAGCATAGATGTATGCCTATTTCTTACTTGACAAATAGTTAAAGTATTATAATTTTTGAGTAATCATGTTGCCTGAAAATTCTTCACAAAAGTAAATCAACAGTTACCTTTTAAAAGCAGTTCACAGCTTCTAGATACATAGAACAGTATTGCTTTTTCGCTTTTTAATTGTTTCAAAAACTTTGTAGTTTGAAATATGTAAAAGGGACAAACAAAGCAAACAGTGGCATGTTGTAATCAGTGGCATCATAACATTCTGAAAATAATCTTTTCCTTTTCAGGCGTTAACATATGTAAGCCGAGGTTATTCATCACAACGTGGCTTAAATGTAAGTGTAAAACATAGTATTTTCCGTGATAATGTAACACTTCCAAATCAGGCTATTTATATCACCAACTTTGAATATGCACTTGGCCATACAAAACCACTGGGTGACAGAAAATCTTGTGATAGGTTTGCTTCAAGTCAGAAATGACTTGAAGTATACAACAAAACATCTGAGATGTGTTTAGTAAGAGATGAACTAAATGCATTTTTTGTTATTGTATATGTTGTAGTGAAGTTTATCTATTTATCAGTCTTTTCAAGCCACCAGATAATGGAGAAGGAGAAGTATCACATGTCTGATATATTTTTCTCTGACTAAAGAGACTTGTACTATCAGTCAAGGTAAACCAATACTGTGGTTTGATGATGCTGAAATTGCTGACCAAAAGGTCAGCACTTTGAATCTAGGGAGCATGGGGAGCTCCCGCTGTTAGCCCCAGCTTTGGCCAACCTAGCAGTTCGAAAACATGCAAATGTGTGTAGATCAATGGGTACAACTCCGGCGGGAATGTAACGGTGCTCCATGCAGTTATGCCGGCCATATGACCGTGGAGGCGTCTAAAGACAATGCTGGCTCTTCGGCTTAGAAATGGAGATGAGCACAACTCCCCAGAGTCAGACGTGATTAGTTTAAATGTCGAGCCCCTGGTGGCGCAGTGGGTTAAACTCCTGTGCCGGTAGGACTGAAGACCGACAGGTTGCATGTTCGAATCCGGGGAGAGGCAGATGAGCTCCTTCTATCAGCTCCAGCTCCTCATACGGGGACATGAGAGAAGCCTCCCACAAGGATGATAAAAACATCAAAAATCATCCAGGCGTCCCCTCGGCAACGTCCTTGCAGACGGCCAATTCTCTCACACCAGAAGCAACTTGCAGTTTCTCAAGTCACTCCTGACACGACTTAAATGTCAAGGGGACACTTTTACCTTTACATTTAAGATACTCTAAAACATTAAAACAAACATAGACTTCAGAGAGTGGAGTCTAAATAGTCCAAATTTAAATTTTGGAATATATTTAATTGTCTTTATAGTTATGCCTAACATTGTAATTATTGCAATGATTTTGTTTATAAGGAAGTAGTCATCGTCAGTGCTGTACGGACACCAATCGGATCTTTCCAGGGATCCCTTTCTTCACATCCAGCAACTAAGCTTGGTTCCACTGCAATTAAAGGAGCCATAGAAAAAGCTGGTAAGTTAACCAGACTGGCTCCATAGTTCATTACTAAACATTTATCCTCCTGTTCAGCCTTGCTTCTTGTTTTCAGAGAGGGATCAAACCATGATGAGCCAGTTGGCATAGTAGGCATTGCATGAATTACCTGTAAAAAGAAACATCAAGGGAGAGGGTTTGTTTTCCTCTGTTACTTTGCTAAACTAAAGTTGAACTCCAATGGTTCTGTCATCTAGATCGGTGGTTCTCAACCTGTGGGTCCCCAGATGTTTTGGCCTTCAACTCCCAGAAATCCTAACAGCTGGTAAACTGGCTGGGATTTCTGGGAGTTGTAGGCCAAAACACCTGGGGACTCATAGGTTGAGAACCACCGATCTAGATAAACTTTGAAAATGATCCTCTATGTGGAAATTCCAAGGAGTAATTCTTGCTACTTTTTTCTGTCTATCCAGATTATAATTTTTTCTCTTTCGACTATGTTGCATTGTGAGCATACTATCACTCCATTCTTAGAAATGGCTTCTCCTATTACTATTAGGTATCCCTGCACAAGAAGTCAAAGAAGTGTACATGGGCAATGTTATCCAAGCTGGGCAAGGACAAGCTCCAGCAAGACAAGCAACTCTCGGTGCAGGTATTAAAATGTGTTTAACTATGACTATAACTTAGTAGACTGCTTAGTTAGCAAGATTATAACTTAACACATGTAGACAATCTTTTCTGCAACATGTAACTTGTCCAAAGTAAGATTTACTGTTAAATGTTTTAAAAACTGAGCACTATTGCAAAATATAATTTGATATACTATCCGTTACATGGATTGCAGACTAATAATTTGAATTTGAATTGAGTCTTCTGCACTCAAAACTGGAATAGTTTCTCCATTAATTACTTTCTTCATTCCACTTTCTACATTCTCCATCTGCTGTTAGTGGGTTTATGTATGACAGACTATTCAGCCGATATGGGAGATGTACTGTTTTTTTATGTTGTGAAGCAGAAGTGAATGAATCCAGTGTTTCGCTCTGGCAGGAACAAATTACCTGAGAATTCAAGAGGTTTCTCACCCTTTAGGACCAATTGAACTATCATCGAATACTGTCTGGGGGAGCAAAAAAAAAAAAAAAAAAAAAAAGCATATAGTGTTGGATAATAAGTTAAGATTATATGGCTTCCGTTCATTTTAATTGATTAAATCAATTTGATTTATACAAATACAATTGGTCAATAATCCCTGTTATTGTTATCTTAATCGTTCCTCTTTATTTTAATTTGGTTCAGGTTTACCAGTTTCTACCCCTTGCACAACCGTCAACAAAGTATGTGCATCTGGAATGAAATCCATTATGATGGCAGCACAGAGTCTGATGTGTGGGAATCAGGTAGGAGAATCTGTATATTAAAAAAAAACACTTGTGGATCTGTGAAAATATATTTTTTCAGTATTGTATAATAATGATCAGCCAGATTTCCTGTGCCTGCATCTTTGAATAACCACTGTTTCAGGGGCTCAGTTGATTTCAATAGAAAATGAGTAAGAAACATTATTTGATGACTATACTCATTAATGCTGCTCTGTATCAGAAAATGGCTTGCCTATATTATATCTAACATATCAGATATAATTTTGTCTCTTAGAAAGTTGCTGAGATTTATTGTTAATTGTCAACTAAACATCAGAATTGCATAACAAATAGTAGAAACTTTAATTAATTTAATTTTAAAATTGCTTTTATCATTTATTGGCATTGAATGAATGCCTGTTATGAAGCCGCCCTGAGTACCCCACCAGGGGTGAGAAGGACGAGATACAAATATGTGAAATAAATAAATAAATAAATAATAACTTCATGACTACAGACCACTTTGTCTTTATGTACTTTTAAGATGCAGAAAGAATGGAGGACATGATTAAAATCTTGAGTGTTTTATTTTTTAGACTTTTACATTTCTTTGTCATAAGGAATAATGTTTCCTGCATTACTTAAACTCTGTCTGGACAGGACGTGATGGTGGCCGGAGGAATGGAGAGCATGTCCAATGTGCCCTACACAATGGTCAGAGGAGCAACACCATATGGAGGAGTTAGGCTTGAAGATCTTATTGTAAAAGATGGCTTGACAGATGTTTACAACAAAATCCATATGGTAAATATACCTTTTAATGTCTTAGATTCATATTTCATTGTTTTGAAATTGTAGGTAACTGTTGTTTATGGTACTATATAGCACTAATTTTTGAATAAAGGAACATATTAAATTCAATTGACAAATACTCTAACTCTGCTAAAATTGAGCATAGTGCTTTGAGTAGAATTACTATTCACACAGAGCAGTGAGTTGCTATGAAAATGTTAAGATTTTGAAAGTGTTTCTTTTCCTGCCTGGTAATAGAACTTCAAAGAGGTATAATAACATAACAACTCCTATTATCCTCAGTGTTTTTAGTTCTGTGGAGAGTCTTATGACTTTTCCAAGCTCTGGTTACTAATGTGATTTGCCTCGTGTCCTGTTGTTGTCATAGCAAAAATTCATTATTCCTAGCCATTAATAAGAAATAAAGAAAATACTTACTGTACATTATGGGTAGGTTAACAACACATATGGGAGACCTGACAACATGGCAGTTACTTTAAACACCAGCTATTTTTTGTTATGGTTTTCATGATAAAGAGGCTATTTGCACACCTTTTTAATCACAAACCTATGGAGTTTAAGAGCAGGTCGTGGTGTTCTGGGCATCATTCCCACATTCATTGCACTTTCACAGATGCTAACACCCAATTTTGCAGATTTCATAATAAATTCAACTCTGTATTTCCTCTTAAGTCATATATATGTAATCCATGGATATGCAGAGCATTTTGTAGTCTCTGCAGAATGTATAAGAGAGGACAAAGTGTGGATGAACTGAGGATGAACTGCATCTCCACATAAACCTAATTAGTACCATCAGTGGTGAGACATGCTAGGATTTGCAAATGAACAACTTCTGGAGGGGCAGGTTTTTTCCATGCCTGACTATAATCCCTAAGTTGAGATTGGTTATCTGTAGTTGATGTGGGAAGGAAACTTGAAAACATAGTGTGTTGGATTCTATTTCTTTGGCTTTTGAGTTAGCTCATTTCTGTGAGCAAAAATGTGGATGAATTGCTTTGTCAGCTAGAAGCTGCATCTACTGCTGGGAGACACTAAAGAAAAAGCACTTAAACTGCTACACAGGCTAGAATCCTGTTGGGGTATCATATCAACATAACATAGCTTTCCTGTTTAGATAGGCCTTTAGTGAGGGAAACTAAGCTGGAGTGATAAGAAACACCATAATGTTTATGGACTGGAACAAAGTGCAGTATGATCTGACATGATGCCACAAGAATGTGAATATATATTGTTGTTATTTTAAATTGTTATTTTATGATGTTTTATCCTTATTATTGATGTATTTGGATTGTCGTTTACTGATTTTAATATGTTGTAAGCCACTTTGTGTCCTGTGAGGGAGAAAAGCGGGGTATAAATAAAGATTTCTCCTCCTCCTCCTCCTCCTCCTCCTCCTCCTCCTCCTCTTCCTCCTCCTCCTCCTCCTCCTCCTCTTCTTCCTCCTCTTCCTCCTCTTCTTCTTCCACTAGTACTTTAGTAATTTGACAGAGAGGTGATGCAGGCATAGGAGCAAATGCCTCGAAGCTTTATTCTGTTTTTGAAATGCGTGGCTTCAATGTGTGTGTCTGTATGTCATTGAAGCCAAGAAGCTATGGGGAAATCACGTGCTACAAGACAGGTTATTAACATGGTGGCCTGATATCAGTAGCTTTCTCCCTGTGACTGCCACCCTTTTCATCTTTTCTGCTGCCTCCTTTGGCATCCAGTGGCTGAACGATAAGAATACCTGCTGTATTCTTTAAAAGGCACCCCATACTGTTCTTCTTTGATTTCCTACTTTGTCTTTCTAAATTCAGGGTAACTGTGCAGAGAATACAGCTAAGAAATTTTCTATATCACGGGAAGATCAAGATGCTTTTGCTATCAACTCTTATACAAGAAGCAAAAAAGCCTGGGATTCTGGTGTTTTTGCAAATGAAATTGTATCTGTTACGATTTCTCAGAAAGGTAATATGATGCCATATATATAGTTATATAATAATTTTATATCTTATGAGTTGTGACAAGCTGGAAGTGAAAAAAGGAGAAGCCTTTGTTTTGTCTGTATTTGTGTGTCTCATTGTATGTGACTGTAAGGCATTGAATGTTTGCCTATGTCCGCTGTAAATGTTGTAATCTGCTCTGAGTTCCCTAGGGGAGAAGGGTGGAATATAGATAAAGTGTGGTGTTGTTGTTTTTGTTTTGTTGTTGTTGTATTAGTATTATTATATGTACTCATGAGTAAAAATTGATGTAAAATTGAAATAGATTTTAGGAGCTGGAGTTAAGACTGGGCTCCCTCACCCCTCTTGGTTTAATAGTGGCATTCCACTAATGCTTCCACAGCGTTTGAATCCTATGGAAGAAGATTTTCTTATGATGAAGCCACTGTTTTGTTTTAAATTCCCCTCTCAAGTTAATGGACAATAGAATGTGGAACCAATTTGAACTGAATTTATTATTTTTTAAAATTGTTGTCTTTGCCTTTTAAAAAAGCATGATTACGCTAATAACAGGTGTTTTTTCAAAGATCAAAGTATGACAGAAATGACTCTCACAAGCTTCTGAAAGCTCTGTGGCATTATATTATGGTATAGGTATGCTGGATTAGATTCAATTATGAAGTATGCTAAAACATTTGAATCCCTGTATGAATCCGCCCATATCTTGAGACCTTCTGGGGAGGCCCTTCTTGCTGCCCCATCACTATTGAAGGGTACATTTGACGGGAAAACAAGAGAGATCTTTTGTTGTCGAAGACTTTCATGGCCAGAATCACTGGGTTGCTGTGAGTTTTCTGCTCTGTATGGCCATGTTCCAAAGCATTCTCTCCTGATGTTTTGCCCACATCTATGGCAGGCATCCTCAGAGGTTGTGAGGTCTGTTAGAAACTAGGCAAGTGGGGTTTATATATCTGTGGAATGTCCAAGGTGGGAGAAAGAACTCTTGTCTGTTTGAGGCAGGTGTGAATGTTTCAATTGGCCAGCTTGGTTAGCATTGAATGGCCTTGCAGCTTCAAGTCCTGGCTGCTTCCTGCCTGAGGGAAACCTTTGTTCTGCCTCCCACAGACAAGAGTCCTTTCTCCCACCCTGGATATTCCACAGATATATAAACCCCACTTGCCTAGTTTCCAACAGACCTCACAACCTCTGAAGATGCCTGCCATAGATGTGGGAGAAATGTCAGGAGAGAATACTTTTGGAACTTGACCATACAGCCCAGAAAACTCACAGCAACCCACAAGAGAACTTTCTCAATGGTTGCTTCCAGCCTCTGGAACTCCCTTCCTATAAAGGTTAGACTAGAATCATGTTTATGTCCTAGTGCAGACCTCTGAAGAACTTTTTGTTTTTGCAGGCTTTTGAAAGCTGATTCCTCAAGGGAAAAGTGTTTTTTATGTGCTGTGCTTTGATTATAACTGGGGTTTTTTTAGTAGTCTGTTATTAAATGCTGTTTTATTGATTAATTATAGTAACTTTTGTACACTGTAATTTTTTAGCTATATCTCCCCTTACTTTTACAAATCACTTTGAATCCCAGATTGCAATCATGGGTATGATATTAACATAACATCAACAATTGTTTTAGGGAAACCGGACATAGAGGTTAAAGAAGATGAAGAGTATAAGCGTGTTGACTTTTCCAAAGTTCCAAAGCTGAAGGCAGTTTTTCAAAAAGAAAATGGTAAGTTTTGAAACTGATTTATAATGTTCTCTTAGTTTGATTAAAGTATATTATTTTTAGTAAATGAATGTAAGCATTTACTGTTCTGACACAGGATTTTTTTGTAAGCAACTAGTTTTTACATTATAATTGAACTGCTTCCTAGAACTGGACAGACAAGGTCCAAAACCATTAAAAATGGGATATTAGTATTTCATATTCTGATTGTTGCCTCTTACAGTGATCCTAACTTCTTTTATCTGTTGATATCATTCAAAAAAACCAAAACCTGCAGATGTGTTCTTTTGGGATAGTGCCAACTGTATTGACTTGCTGTGCCTTGTCTGATCAGTTTGAATAAAGATAGTGCCTGGATGGAATGAATAAGGCTGCAACATATTCCCCTGTCTTTTTCAGGAACAGTAACTGCGGCCAATGCCAGTACATTGAATGATGGAGCAGCTGCTTTGGTTCTGATGACTTCAGAAGCAGCCAAGAGACTGAATGTTAAGCCATTGGCTAGAATAGTAGGTAGGTTGATTGCCTTTCTGTTTAATTTTTGGGGGGTGGGGAGAGAACTTGTACAGCCCTGACCAAAAACAATAGCAATCTGATTTGGTTTTGTCTTTTATTTGTGAGTTAGGATGAAAGACCTGCCTTTGGATCAAAAGAGGCTATCAGTTTTTCCTCCTAAACAGTCAACTGTCTCTTAAACATTGGGTACACTGGGCCCTTGGTATCTTCTGGGACTTGGTTCCAATATTCTCTCATGGATATCTAAATCCATGGATGCTCAAATCCCATTGCATACAATGGTATTGTAAAATGAAATATAAAATTGCAAGATTAAGATTTGCTGTTTGTTTGTTTTTTAAATAAATATTTGCAAACAGTGGGTGGTTGAATCCATAGAATCTATGTATATAATGGGCTGGCTATACTTTAAATATTTTCAAAGGAAGGATGTCAGAAGCTGCAAACTTTTAGTTCAGTTGCTGATGTAGGGAAAAAACCCATAGAGCTTCTTACATGGCTTACATAATGATTTTTAATTCACACCAATGTTTACACAGCTTTTGCAGATGCTGCTGTTGATCCCATTGATTTCCCAATTGCACCAGCACATGCTATTCCCAAGGTAGGAACTCAAATTGTACTGTTCTCCTACTTTCCAGTAGAAAATCTTTCTTAAAGCAGACCTTGTACTATTTGACATTTGTCATAATTGATCAAAATTGCATTTCAAATGCATCTGTGAAGCAAAGGAAAATAGAAAACAATACCCTTATTTCATTGCATAATAGCCTTGTTTTTCTTTTTTCCCCCTTCAAAAAAAAAAAAGAGGGGTGTGTGTGACTATTATGTGGTGAAAAAAGAAGGGGGGCCTATTAGCTGGTAGTCTCCTCTTCCCTTACGCGTTGATGAGTGAGACCTACGTCTTCTCCTTCGGCTGTTGGAAGATGAAGGATACTATATAGGCCTCCCTTGCCAGTAGGCAAGAGCTGCAGGGCCTGAGACCTCCTAGCTTTCCCCGGCAGTCAAGTAGATGGGTGGAGGCTCACCCACCAATGCACCTGCTGGACAGAACTACAAGACCCATACACCTGCCCCTCAGAGCTATAGGGTCTGCTCCAAGGGGCAGGGCATGCAACTATTAGGTGAAGAATTTTAAAAGAACAAAACTGGGACTCCCAGAAGGGGTGTGCATTATGCGATGGTGACTATTATGAGATGAAATACAGTATTTCAGTAAAATCAGAATGTGTTGTGTGACCTCAGATCGTTACAGACTTATGATGTTTACTTAGGCGATCTCTCGTAGCCCAAGGATGATGGTCCTCCAAGTGTAGTGTCTTGCCGGTGGGTCCGTAGGTGGCTGTGGAGCCCTATTATTGATCCGCATGTTCTCCTGCAGTGAGAACATTAGTTTCCAGGTGGAAGGCAGTCCCGGTTAGGGTTGGCTTCACACACCTTCCTCTTGGCACATTTCTCCCTTTTGCTCTCCATTTGTGCCTACTTATGACCTTAATGCGAAGGTATCCCAGGATCTTGACAAAATTTGTTCTGAGAAGGTTTACCTTTGTCTTTTTCTCAGGCTGAAAGAGTGACTTGCTCAAGGAGTCCCAGTGGGTTTTCATGGATAACTGGCCATAACAGCCAGGATAACAAGGAAGAGTCTTACTGTGTTAACATTGAAACTTATTAGTTGCACTGGCATTGAGTCCTTTTCTAAGATCAATTTAAACTTTCATGTCCTGAATGACTTTTGACCAGTTTACTTGAAAGACTTCAACTGCTATAAACTTTCAAACTTTCTTCACCGAACCTATTCTGATGAAGATGAAATGAACAGTATGTTTCCTTTCTCTTTCAGATACTTAGTCAAACAGGACTCAAAAAGGAAGATATTAGTATGTGGGAAATCAATGAAGCATTCAGCGTTGTCGTCCTAGCCAACATGAAAATGCTGGATGTTGATCCACAGAAGGTGAATATTAATGGAGGAGCAGTGTCCTTGGGACATCCAATTGGGTAAGTGATTTTTTTCTGTATAATAAGGAAAATCTCTATTGTGGGCAGTATGGGTCTCCTTTAAGAGAAGAAAGTGGGGTGAGGATGACAGTCATATTTTATAGTTTTGAGGACAGCAGTTCAAGAAGACAACAATGCTCGTTCTCTTCCATTCAGTTCATTTCAATTCCTTGCAGAAATATCTGAAATAAAACTATAACAGTTTATATATATATATATATATATATATATATATATATATATATATATATATTAATTTTTAAAGTACCATGCGCAGAATTCACAAATATTTTCTCATATTTAAAAAAATTGATTTATCCTAAGCTTGTCAGATATTTTTAGGTTAATCATTTTTGAAGTGACAATAAGGGATTATAAGAATCAGGAACATTCCAACAGATAGCACTAAGAACTCAACCACCTGTTTATTATTGGGTAATTTGCAAGCCAGGATGGAGTAACTGAAGAGTAATAAAAGAAGCACAAGCTCTGTAGTTTGAGTGAATTGGTGAGAGTGAGCAGAACATTTAGAGAGAGTGGGCAGAGTGTTTGGAGAGAGAGCAGAATGGTGAGTTGCTGAGTCAGAGCCTTGGAGGTGTTGCTGCCAGTGTTGAACTTCTGGAGTTAAAGATACAGAAAGACTCAAGGATCAATGAAGATCAGAGATAAAGTGCTACAAGCTATGGTGAAGGTGTGAACTCACTGGGCGTCAGTACAATACCATACAAAACTGTATAAAATCCCACATTATCTGCTTTGAACTGGGTTATATAGCAGTGTGGACTCAGATAACCCAGTTCAAAGCAGATATTGTGGGTTATTTGCCTTGATATTCTGGGTTATATAGCTGTGTGGAAGGGCCCTATGAAGCGTAATAATGAAGCCTATTTATCGATCGAATTTGGGGGGGGGGGGTCTCATAATTCTGAAAGAGAGAGATAGCTAAGATGTTAGTATCCTAAGCCACATTTAGTTGAGCTGGATGCTGTCGCTCACAAAGCTAACTCTTTCAGTCAAAATAAAAAAGTAAGCTTGTGTGATATCAAACTTAAAGTGAATTGATATTGATGTGTGTGTCTTTTTCTATTTTAGGATGTCTGGAGCAAGAATTGTTGTTCACATGGCTCATGCATTGAAACAAGGAGAGCATGGCCTTGCTGGAATTTGCAATGGTGGAGGAGGAGCATCTGCAATTCTGATCCAAAAGCTGTAGCCAAAAGCATCAAGCCTTAAGACTCAAACTATCCAGTGGCTGTTAGTTATCTGTGGAATTGCTGCACAAATCCCTAGACTCGGTCTATCATTTAAAAGAAACAAAATGTTTTTTAATGTAGCATGCTTCCTTACAAGTGTTTTTTTACCATAAGGACTATAAACCATGTTCGGAAATTTAACAATCAGAGACAATAAAGACTGTATACATCATGCCTGACCACTATAGACAAATTTTGTCATACGGTGTAGCATTGTGAGCACATTCCTTATTGATTAAGTGAAGGGTAGGATGCAAGCTTCTTAGAGCCACTGTTATATTAGAATCCATTTGATTGATGCATCAGTTGGGGCCAATATTAAATTATAGGTTGCCTTCTTAGCATAAGAACTTGTTTTCAATATCTAGATTGAAAGGAGGTCTAAACCCTGGTTATCATTATCTATCTTCATTTTTAACAGCTCTTTCTAGTGAGTTTGCATTCTAGTATGATAGAGGGAAATATGCCCGTCCACATTCATTCATTGTATCGCCTTTAATTTTTAAGTTGCCCTAAATTAATTCCTCAAACTGTGCTCCTCCAGATGTTTTGGACTTTAGCTCCCACAATTCCCAACAGCTGGTAAATTGGCTTGGATTTCTGGGAACTGAAGTCCAAAACACCTGGAGGAGCAAAGTTTGAGAAACACTGCCCTAAATCATGTGGTGTTGGTAGCAAGCAGCCTATAAAGTCTGAGCTTTATAAACATGTGCAATCCCACCTGTCAATATAGATCCTGTATATCTCATTATCTTCCACTTTTAAGGATTATCATTTTATTCACACTTAGTTTTGTTCTTTAGTTACCACTCCATAAAAACAACTGCTCTTCCTCTTTAGCAGGTTTTGTCAAAAGGCATTATGTCCAAATGACATCTAGCTTGACAACAGCCACACTATTGTGTTCAGTATATTTAAATAGGCTAAATTAAGAGCTGAGTGAAACATGAATGTCCCCCTCCCCCACACCAGTTTCAGTAACAGCTTTTAAAAAATCACACCACACGACGCTAGCAGACTGCTACTGATGTGTATATTTTAAAAGTTAAATAGAACAAAAATAAACTGTCCATTCAAATTCTTAGAGATAGTAAGGAAGTTGGAAAACTTTTATTGTAACAAAATTGCAACTTAGAGAGAAGACAGGGCAAAGGCGAACAGGAAAAAATATCTTCAATACAAAAGGGGGAGTGTTGCCACATTTAGAAATTTCCCAGCTGTTTGTTGAAGGCTTGGAGAAATTATTAACTCTTATCTGTTCTTCAACTAAAACCAACCATTGAAAGCTTGGTTAGAGTCTGTCCTGGGAACAATTCCAACTTCAGTATAAGCTCCACCATTCAGTGGAGCATATTTAGGATTATGGATGCTTCACACTATAAAAAACTGTTGAAACTCGTAATGTGCACATTTTGGCAGAAAAAAAACCAACACCTGGTGTCAAAAGTAGTATCTTGTTGTTTTACAACATTAACAACTGTACAATATTTACAGCAACCCACTAAGTACAACTGTGCAAATTTAACACAGAGCCAGAAAAGTGCTCCCTTATTCAAAAACCAACGACTTGTTCAAGAACCCGCTTGACTTTCTTTTAAGAAGTGGAATTGCAATGAACTGATTGTGCATCTTAAAGCCTCGATGTGTTCTCTCCTCTTGAGTGTGCCAGTGATATTAAAAGCATTTTTCTATTTATTCATCATAATGCAAAGATAACAAGAACTTATCCACATCCATTCCAGCGGGAAAGGCAATTGGTAGCTTCTTCTGCTAAAATAAGAAAACAAAATTTAGATGCTGAAAATCTTTCAGCTTTATTTGCACACAATATATTCTTTCTTAAAAATCTATGACAGTCCACGTTATGCCCAGTGCTTAATATATGTCTTAGTAATGGAACAAAAGTTTCTCACATGTTCCAGTGTTTCAAAGTATACTGTGCCATTCAGCATAAGCAACCATTTTAAGAAATACAAAATTACATTGAATGTACAGCTTTTAGAGTATTGGTTCCCAACCTGTGGTCTGCGGATCACCAGTGGTCCCTAAGAACTAAAATATGGTCCGCGGTCTGACCACTGCAACACCCCATGGACCACGCCCCCTTCCTCGTGGCCATGCGCCCGTGGCAAGGAGGTAAGAGAAAGCTGTTAGGAACAATTTCTTGGGTCTCACACTCCGCTTTTTGTATTTTTTTTCAAACTCAGCCCCCTCCCCTTCTTTCTTATTTTTACATGAACATTTAACAAAATCCACGGATAATAACACAGCCCAACCCAAAAAAAAAAAAAAGTCTTGGTGTCTTCGTTTTTAGGTCTGTTTCTGGGGTTATTTGGGGTGCTGATTCAGAAATTGCATTAGATAGACCACATCAGCTCTAGATTATTAAATATGGCAGTGTTTCTCAACCTTCTTAATGCCACGACCCCTTCATGTTGTGGTGTCCCCCAACCATAATTTTTTTTTTGTTGCTACTTCACAACTGTAATTTTGCTACTGTTATGAATCGTAATTTAAATATCTGATATGCAGCATCTATTTTCATTCACTGGAACAAGTTTAGCACAAATATCCAATATGCCCAAATTAGAATACTGGTGGGGTTGAAGGGGGATTGATTTTGTCATCTGGAAGTTGTAGTTACTGAGATTTATAATTCACCTACAATCAAAGAGCCTCTAAACTCACCAACAATGGAATTGAACCAAATTTGGCATACAGAACTCCCATAACCAACAGAAATTACTGGAAGGGTTTGTTGGGCATTGACCTTGAGTTTTGGAGTTGTAGTTCAGTTACATCCAGAGAGCACTGTAGACTCAAACAATGATGGCTCTGGACCAAACTTGGCACGAATACTCAATATGCCCAAATGTGAACACTGGTGGAGTTTGGAGAAAATAAACCTTGACATTTGGGAATTGTAGGTACTGCGATTTATAGTTCACCTACAATTAAAGAGTAATCTGAACCCTACCAATGACGGAATTGGGCCACACTTCCTACACAGAACCCCCATGATCTGATGGTCTTTGGCGATCCCTCTGGTTTTAATGAGAATCACTTTGAGTCTCTTTTTCAGAGAAAAAAAACAGAATATTAATACTAATAATAATTTACTTGTCTAAAAAATGCAGCACAACAAAAAGTTTTAGTAATGATAATTCCTGATTGCATTTGGAGAAGATTTTGGGAAAGGATGCTTCTTATTCTAGTTGTTTCATGAGATACTGGAATTAATGGCTGATTCAGGGACAGTTCCACACAATTGCATCTAAAACAATAAACCCTTCTTACCTTTACTTTCTTCTTTTTTATCGGCACGGTAAAGTTCTGAAGATCTTTTTTACTAGTTGGACGGGAACCCTTTTCACATTCGACCACATCTTCCTGCTTCCTTTTTTTGGCCACACTTTTTAGAGACTTAAAGGATTGCGTATTGTCTTTGAGGGCTGTACTAGTCCTTGCAATTGCTGCTCGTGAGAGGATCATCAAAGTGTGGGCAGCCATGCTGACACTATTTTCACTGCTGGTTTCACTGACTGGGCTGCAGGCTGGCAGATCGGGCGTGGCTGGAGGGACCATGATCCTCGGGGTGGTACTGTCCTCGCTGTACCGCCTACATGTCGGTGTCCTCACTATATCAAATGCGTCCTCCGTGTGCCGATCCCCCATTCCCGAAGGTGTGCGGGGCACCGGCAAGTCCACACTTTCGGGCAGTTTACTAGCAGGGCTCTGCCTCTGAATGTCATGGAGCACCTCCACAGCTTGCTTAGCCAGAGGACTGGCCAAAGAATGAGATTGGTTGGGAGACTTTGTTTGGTCTTTTTTTGGCTCCGTGGAAGGCAAAACTCCTGAATTCTTGCTATTTGTATTTGCCTGTAGGCCTTGTTTTTTAGTCAGTTCTTGAGGTGAAGAGGTGTTCTTCTCGTTCTGATTTTGTTGACCACTGGATAAAGTTGCTGCCTCCTGTTTTTGGGGTGTTTTGTCAACATTCCTCTCTAGTTCGTTTTCTTTATTCGCTGTCTGCTTCCTTAACACATCAGAGGCCAGTCCTGGACTTGAACCCTTCTTCTCGGACAGGTTTTCCTTCACGGCAGAACTTCGGTGACTAACGTTAGGCTTACATAAAATCCTAGGCAATGTTCTCTCACGTTCCCTCTTGTTAGAATGGATTTTAGTAGATGAAAGCACAGCACTGGGAGAATTTCCAGGATCCAAAGGATTTTCCTGCCTTTCTTTCTGCGAGACTTGTGTGCTGCCGACGGGAATGGCTAGAGCCTTGTCAAAGCACAGCACTCTTCTGTGGCTCTCATTCTGTTTGGAACTTGGGCTGGTGGTATCCACAGCAACCATCTCCAGCTTCTTGTTCGCATCTCCACAGGCATTCTTGTCCAAATTGCCAATTCTAACAAGAAAAATAGTACGGAGATTTGACATTATTTTTGTAAAACTTCTATTCCACTTTAAATATTCATTTATTTATCTATTTACTACATTTACTACACTTTTCTCACCCCTGGGGGGGACGGGGACGGGAGGGACACGGAGACTCAAAGTGATGTGCATCAAATAATGGCAAAATTCAATGCCAACATACATACAAAGCGTATAATGAAAAAATGCCATATAATAATAAAATTAACCAAATAATAAATTAAAATAATTAAGATCACATTAAACATCTGCTTTTTTTTTTTGAAATGTCACGACCATGAGGCCCAAAAATACTGGAAAATTATACATTAAGTATCTCAAAAAATACATTCCCACAAAAAATACTTGGGAATGACATTCCCAAGAAACCCAGAATATTACTTACTAGGCCTCATGGACTCACAGCCAATTTTGGACCAAAACAAGGACATATTATTTACTTATATTTCTACGGCAGTGAGAATCTCCTATGCAAAACTTTGGAAAATTGATAAGATACCAGACATTGATAATTGGATAAGTAAAGAGAAATTAGAGACATGGACAAATTAACTTCTTCTTTTTTTTAGAAAAACTCGGGAAGTTTAATAAAAAGGACAGACTGGAATCCCTTCGAGGAATGTGAAAGGGGGAAAAACCACAAAAGACAGTATTTAACTACAGGACTTTTATTTATATATTAATTTATAGAGTAAGAAAAATATAATGGCAGAGACTCAGAATGGAAGTCAATAAGACTCTTTTTTATCTTTTATTTTTTCCTATTTTCCTTTTAATTCAATGTTCTCCCATTTTTTTATGTAAAAACAATAAAATGTTCTTTTTGTGGACAATAAAAATCTATTTTTAAAAAGATCACATTAAACATAAAACATAAATAACATTTAAACAATTTAAAACAGAGAATTAAAACATCTTATTATCATTTAAAATCACATGCTCCAAAATTGTAGTCTGAAGCCATTCCAGTTGTCAAATTGCACTTATTTCCTATTCATTCCTTGCGCTGCATTACCTACTGAAGGCTTGGTCCCATAGCCATGTCTTTACATTCTTCCTGAAGGCCAGGGGGGAGGGGGCTATTTTTTTTTTGTTGAAGAGGGAGTTCCAGAGTCAAGGGGCCACCACTGTAAAGGCCCTGTCTCTTGTCATCCCCAATCACATCTGCAAAGGAGGTGGGATCGAGAGCAGGGCCTTCCCTGCTCTCGAATTTAACCTCTGAGATGGTTTATAGAAGGAGATGTGTTCGGACAGGTAAGCTGGGAGGGAACAGTTTAGGGCTTTATAAGGTAAAGCCAGCACTTTGAACTGTGCTCGGTAGCAGACTGGCAGCCAGTAGAGTTGACACATTGGACCACCTGAAGCTTCCAAACAGTCTTCAAAGACATGTAGAGCACATTGCTGTAGTCTATTTGGAATGTAACAAATGGACTATTGTTCACTGCTATAAAGCTGTCAGGCATTTTAACAACCAATAATACCAAGGTAGTTCAAGAAGGGTATTTCATCTTCTGAGGTTTTCAAATAGAACAGTTCAGCTTTGCTAAAATTATGGGGGTAAAAAGGGAAATGATCTACACACATGACATTCATGAAGTTGTGTAGACTTGTTTTTAATTCAGTCTCTGCTGCAGCAAGCGTTGCTTTCAAAAGGAACATGCAAACCAGGCAAGAGGAGACTGCCTTTAGAAACAAAGTGGGAGTTGTCTCCTAGGCCAGGATTTTAATCTAAAAAACACGTCTTCAAATGGAAAGAGAAGAGAACGCAAACTGGATGGCAAATAGAGATATTTATTTATTTGTGGTATTTGTATACCACCGTTCTCAACCCCAAAGGGGACTCAGGGCAGTTCACAGTGCTGGTAACAATTCAATGCCATTAATGAAAAACAGTATAAAACATCAAAATTAACCCTCCCCTGAAAAAAAACATTAAACATTATTAAACACACCACATAAGATAACATCACATATCACACAAAGACATAGCCGTTGTCCGTAAACAGTCCTGGGTCATTGCACTTTCAACTTTCACTTTAAATTCAAATATTCCTATGATGGGCTGAACGCTTGGTTCCACAGCCAGGTCTTTAGCTATCTCCTAAAGGTCAGTAGGGAGGGGGCAAATCTGATCTCATTTGGGAGTTCCACATTAGTGAGGCCACCACCGAGAAGGCCCTACTTTCCTCCTCATGTAAACATTAATTCCAGGAGCACATTTGCTACTATTTAAAACAAAAAAATGGAAAACAACAGGTGGACAGTGTTGGAATCCAACCCCGCACTGCCCAAGTCTCAAGTACTCAATGAGGAGCAGTTAATTAAGTATAGGGTTTCCCTTCCCCCATGTCTCCTGTATGACAGTTCGAATGTGTCTCATTTCTTCTCTGCTCTCATTCCGATTTGTTGTTTAAAATTGATACTTTTCAGCTGCAAGACTTTTTTGATTCTGCCTTCTTACACTTTAGTATGGAGAGTATGTGCTGTGTGAATTGAGACCTCTCTCTACTTGTGTGTCAGAGAGATGTAGTGTTTGGATCATTTTCACTCTCTTGAAACCTTAGAAGAGATGGGAGTTAGAGTATCTGAGACCCAGTTCTTGATTATTAAGAAATGCAGTTATTTCTTATTATTGTAAATAATCCTTTTGTGATTTTTTTTTTAAATTTGGACTCTGCATGTTTGCTTTCTAAGCTCTAAATTCTTTACAGACACATCACACGGCACTTCATACTTTGTATGCTGTGAGCTGAATGCTCAACCTTTGTATCCTGTTTGTTTTTGGATGCTGTATTATTTTAGGGTAATTTTCCCTAAAAGAATCGTCTATCCACTATATATGTCTCTTGCCACAAGTAAAAATATCAAAGCCTACTGCAACAGTGAAGAAAACAATAAAAAGCCCTCATATACATGGACACTTGATTGCAAATGCTTCCCCTCTCCACAAGAACAATGCAGTCATCATGTTTATTTTTATCAGCAACTCCCACAACCAAATTGCCTAAAAAGATCTCTTCAAAGTGTTAAGTGTATCTGAGGTTAGCCAGCTCACACATTTCTCCACAGGGATGCTGGGAACAGATAGCGGTTACATTGCCTAAAAATGGGTCTCAACTAACCTTTGAGCTCGGGAACCAGGGCAATTCAGAGGTTCTGATCCACTCAGCACTAGCTTTCCTAGAACATCGGTATGAAAAACAAATGGTTAATTACAAACAAAACGAAAAGGTTTCATTTCAATTCACCTTTCAGGTGATTTCATTGAAAATGACAAATCCAATGAACAATGCACTTTCGGCCACATCGGTTTTAACTTATAGAATTAAGAAAACGTGTCCACAGAGACAAAGCAAGATTAGCCTGGATAATCTATCCCTGCTTTCCTTTACACAGCATTAATACCAGCTTACCTGCATTTGACTTATTTCTTGGGATCCTCTGAGATTTGGGAGGGAGAGGTAGTTTAGGAATGCCTCCACTGCCTAAAGATGTCTGTATTGGCAGGTGTAGAATCTTGGAAAAGCAAAAGAAATTTGGGTGAAGTTCTTCATGAAACTTGTTGGCTCATGAGCGACACTGTGGAAACCGAACGACGGCATTTTACCTGCTGGGAAGGATCTGAAAATGCACTTCCAGCTTGTCCCATGATAGAAACAGGAATCATTCCCACCATGCCCTGCAGCACAGGCTGTACAGGAGAAGCAATTATAATAGCAGAACCTAAAAATGAATGGATTCAGGAAAACAGTAAGTAAGAGAATCTCAGTTTTGCCTTCTCAATTGTTTGCAGGGCCAGATCTGCTCAACTTCAGCAGGAGGACTGTTATGCCCTTCAGATCAGCTTCTGATCTTTTAGTGAGATTAAACAGGTCTGGACCTTTAACCTACTGGTACGGCAGACTACCAGGGAACCATCTATAAACAGTTTTAAGCTCTTCAGGGGAAGAGAAGGGCAAGGGAAACAGATGCTCTAAACAGACAGAATGCTAAGCACATTACTGCCACTAAGCTACACCTTCCATGATCCCACAGCATTGCATCATGGAAGTTCAAGTGGTGTCAAAACTACATTCATCCATGGCAGTGTAGATGCACCCTGGGACACAGACATATTGTACATATTGGGTATCCCATGTCTGAAATGCTTGGAAGCAGAAGAGATTTGGATTTTTTTCACCTCTTAGTTTAGGATATTTGTATATACCATATATACTCGAGTATAAGCCGACCCGAATATATGCAGAGGAATCTAATTTTACCACAAAAACTGGGAAAACAAATTGACTCAATACAGAAGATACAGAGGGATCCCCCATGCCCAACGACTCTGCATTTGTGGCACAGGGGAAATAGAAGACCTAACACACTATTTGCTACACTGCCCCTTGTACAATGACCCTAGGAAAAATCTCCTAGGATCACTCTTGGAAGAAAGGGCATCATGGCAACAATCTGCGGTGATCTGCGACTTGCTAGCAGATCATTCTAAAAATATAACACTAAAGGTTGCCACATTCGCAATCGCAGCCCAAAAGATCAGAGCCAAAGTAGCAAAATCCATACTGGGGGTCAGAAATGGAAACGGTTTGGAATGACACAAAGCAGACACTGTTATTGTCATGTTTCTGCTTTCATAATTTTAAAGAACTTGTTTTAGTTTTAATTCTTGTTACGTTTTAAGGTTTATATTGGAAAGTGTTTATAAAGTTAGTATTTTACTGATGTCATGGCCTATGGCTAGTACAATAAACAATTCATTCATTCATTCATTGACTCGAGTATAAGCTGAGGGTGGGATATGCAGCAGCTACTGGTAAATTTCAAAATACAAATAGATGCCAATAGTTATATTAACTGAAGCATCAGTAGGTTAAATGTTTTGGAATATTTACATAAAACTGCAACTTAGAATCATGGAGTTGGAAGAGACCGCATGGACCATCCAGTCCAACCTCCTGCCAAGGAGCAGGAAAATTGCATTCAAATCACCCCCAACAGATGGCCATCAAGCCTCTGTTTAAAAGCCTCCAAAAAAAGGAGCCTCCACCACATTCTGGGGCAGAGAGTTCCACTATCAAACAGTTCTCAGTCAGGAAGTTCTTCCTAATGTTCAGATGGAATCTCTTTCTTGTTGTTTGAACTTAAGATAAGACTGTCCAACTCTGCTTAAACCATTATTCTAACCTTCTTCAATGTAAATGTGGTTATGTATCCTTCCAATAATAATAAATAGAGTAAAATAATAATTGTAAAAAGAATAATACAGTAAAATAATGGAAATATAATAACAGTAATAATAAAGTAAAGTAATCAATGCAATAATAACAGTAATAAAGTAAAATAATAAATGTAATAATAACAATAATAAAGTAAAATAATAAATGTAATAATAATTAGAATAATAGATTAAAATAATAAATGTAATAAAAATAATAAGAATAAGAGTAAAATAACAAATAACCTTGATTCAAATATAAGCTGAGGGGGACTTTTTCAGCCTAAAAAAAGGACTGAAAAACTAGGCGTATACTTGAGTATATACCCTACACGAAATAAGGGTTCATCTACACTGTGGAATGAATGTAGTTTAAGACTACTTTAATTGCCACGTTTTGATGCTATGACATCATGGGAGTTGAAGTTCTAGAAAGGCAGTCTGCCCACTCTGCCAAAGAGAGCCTCTCCAAGCTACATCTCTCAGTATACCATAGCAGTTAAACGAGTGTCAAGGTGCATTAAGTCTATCATGGAGATCCACCTATTGTGATTCAGTGTACCTTATCCAAAATGCTTGAGACTGAAGAATGTTGGGATTTAGATTTTAGAATTCTTGCATATACATACATACATATATATATAGTTTTATATTGTTATAAGTATTGTTTTTATATTATTATTTAACTAAGTTTATGTTTTATGCTCTTTTAACATAATCGTTGTTTTATTGTTTGTTTGATTTCAATTTAAATTGTTTGATCTTTTTTATTTATTGTTTCCATTAGCTTATTGTTTATTGTTATTGTTAAATGTGTCTGGAATCAAGCACAACACCTTCCAAGATGGCGGAAAGATGGGGAAAGCTGATATACCTCTTATCTATGTATAACTTGTCTGTCTAGTTGTGTATAAAATGGCACTGAATGTTTGCCGCATGTGTATGTTCTGAGATCTGCCCTGAGTCCCCTTTGGGGTGAGAAGGGCAGAATATAAATACTGTAAATAAGTAAATAAGACACCTAGTTGTTAAGAACCACAACATACAGAAACAAAAAGATGAATGGTATATTCCCTAAGGATTGGCTCAAATAAAGCGCTTCCTTTGCTGTGTGAGGAGTCATGTGTGATATGAGTTTTCCACTCATCCCTGTTATCAAATGCTGTTGCATGTTGTTTTTCCACATTAGAATTTCTCCCCTCTCTCTGAATTAATCAAATGCTCATTCCCATTGGCCATAATGACATGATTTCTTCTAAGTTGAAGAAATTTCTTCTTCAGCCCATAACATCTAAGCTCTAACTTTAAAAAAACCCATTAAGATGGTCTTCTATTACTAATACTACCACAAATGTCACATGATGTTATTAACCAACAGTTACCCTGTGGAAAGTTTGGAGACATTGTTGGATTCATGGTAAACAAGCCATTTGTTCTGGGCGGAGTCCGTAACGGCTGCGGTGTTGGGAATTGTGATGAAAGAGATGTTGAACCACCAGACAACATGACTAAATTGGATGGAGTAACACTTGTACTCAAAGCTGCTGGTTCAGTCACACAAGTGGCAATATAAACACTGTTGGAGTTGGTAAAAGGTGTAGTTGTTGCTGGCATCAGCTGTATAAATCCCCCATCCTTGGCAACATTTGATCCTCCTGAAATGGAAACAACAGTACACTCTTCATTCTGCACATCGAGTTTCCTCGCGACTGAGTCTTGAGGTCTGACAACGAGAAGATTCTGCTCTATCAAAGCTGCATCCACAATCCTTTCGCCCTCTTCTGAAGATACACATTTGGATGATCCTGTTATTTTAGCTGGTGATTTAGCTGGAGAAGACAATATGATCGTTGGCATGTTTTTTCCTGTGATGCTGGAAACAGCACTGTTCAGTTCAGTCTCTGATGAAAGGAATGGATCATCACTGATAATAATTTTAAGAGAAACTATACTGGAGGGGTCAACACTTGCGGATTGAGTGCTAGATGAAACACTAGCACCAACTCTGTTACCTGGACTTGATTCTCCCATTGGCTCTACAGTAGGAGAAGGGCACATGGTGGATGAGGTAGAGGGGTTTTCTGCAGGCCTCTCACTGTCAGAAGCCAGAAAAGCACTGTCAGCATCTGTCTTTGTAGAGGATGATGGCTCTTGTATGTCTACCTGTGACGTCCCTGAATCCTCCAACGTCTGCATTTGATGTTCAGGACAAGTCTCTTGATGGTCAGGCAGATCATTAGAATGAAAAGAGTTGGAAGTATCTACAACTTCTAGCTGGACCTCTATTGAATCTGGATCATACGTATTCCCAAGTGCTGTGGTAGAATCGGATTCGAATTTCTCCTGGCTTTCACACTGAGAGAGAACTGTGTTGCTTTGATTTTGCTTGTCAGGTTCAGGAAACACAGCTGATTGCTCGCTTATCTGCTCCACACTTTTCACAAATTCTGCAGAATGACTAGGAATGACTATATTAGTTCTTGTTAAAATTTCACTATCACCAGTTCTTGGAGAAATGAGCAATTTTGCATTTGTTTTTTCAGATGATATATTCTCTGATACTGAAATACACGCAGTGTTATCAGAGAGTGGTATCTGTGGAGTAACTAAGTGATCATACTGCAAATCAGGTGAGGTTTGAATATCCTGGCATAACGAGTCCTTCTCTATTCTGAAGTCTCTTGTTGCAGTTTCTCCTTGGTTGTAAGATCCTACGTGGTGGCCACCACTGAACTCTATGTGAGTAAAGTGATTATCGGCAGATTCAAAGGTACTTTGACATTCACATGTTTCTGTTTCAGCTGAATCATTGTTGCTTGTCTCCTTAGCACTCCCAGGAAATTCTCCAGTTACGACCCCTTCCATTTTCAAGCGTTCTTCCAAGGTCCCATTGCTACCGCTACCATCAGTCTTCAGGATGCTTGCCTCTTTGGAATTGTCTCCTGGGTATGACAGGCACCCTTGGGGATTATCACCTACAAAAGAACAATAGTTTGAAATGGAATTATAATGGCAACTGTAATGAATTGGTCAGTTTCTAAACTGGCAAAATGTCATTTAATCAATCTATTTCTCCAAACAGATGTATTAAGTTTGAGAGCCTTAAATTGAAAATTGAAACTTTTGGCATCCATCTTGCTAGGCCTGTCCAAAGAAGAATTTTCTATATATCAAAGAAAACTTGTGCTTAAAAAGAAACCAGAAGCTCCTTACCAAGCTCCTTTGTTGCAATATAACATTCAAGGGCTTGTAGGTTTTCTTCATCCACCAAAATTGCATTTTCCACTTCTCCATTCTGTGTAGAAAGGCCATGAATAGCATTTCTACTCCCCTTAGTTTTACCTGTTTCAAACAAGGAGGAAAAGACAATTATGGGAAGTACTGAAATTTGATAAAAGAAGTAAATGTTACACTACAGAATACCCAGATTCTAGAACTGCCTTTTCCTTCATAGCAAGTGCCTCTAAAATTAGTCACTGGGTCATTTCAAAGTGAAAAAACCCACCTTTTCTAGGTCCAAAATATAAGAGGGGAGATACATATGAATAAATATGGGAGAAAGCCTCCCATACCTTTTAGGGGGCATATCAGGGGGCCTTGGAATTACATTGGAGGGGTCTGGGGCTAAATATACCACACAGGGTGCACCTTTCAAAACTATGGACTAAAGCAGTGTTTCCCAACCTGAGAGTCACTGCCTCGGGGGGGGGGGGGGGGGGGGGTCGCGATATGGATTTCAGAGGAGTCAGCAAAGACCATCGGAAAACACATATTTCTGATGGTCTTAGGAACCCTTTTGGCAGAGAAGGCTGAAGATCTCCCTGCCTGTCCTTCTCTTAGTTTTTGGTGTTGGTAAACTATAACTTCCAGAATTCAAAAACAGCTCCCAACCCCACCAGTATTCAATGTTGGCCATGTAGGTAGTGTGCCAAGTTTGGTGCAGATCCATTGTGGGCTGGGTTCAGAGTGCTCTTTGATTGTAGGTGAACTATAAATCCCAGCAACTACAACTCCCAAATGCCAAGGTCTATTTCCCCAAACTCCACCAGTGGCATATGGAGTATTTGTGCCAAGTTTGGTCCAGATCCACCATTGTTTGAGTCCACAGTGCTCTCTGGGTGTAGGTGAACTACAACTCCAAAGATCAATGTCCATTAAACTCTTCCAGTATTTTATCTTGGTCATGGGAGTTCTGTGTGCCAAGTTTGGTTCCATGCCATTGTTGGTGGAGTTCAGAATGCTCTTTGATTGTAGGTTAACCACAAATCCCAGCAACTACAACTCCCTAATGACAAAATCAATCCCTCCCAACCCCACCAGCATTCAAATTTGGCCGTATCAGGAATTTGTGTCAAATTTGGTCCAGTGAATGAAAATACATCCTTCTTATCAGATATTTAAAGTACAATTCATAACAGCAGCAAAATTACAGTTATGAAGTAATTTTCAGCAATGAAAATAATCTTATAGTTGGGGGTCACCACAACCCGAGGAACCGTATTAAAGGGTTGTGGAATTAGGAAAGTTGAGAAACACTGGACTAAAGGAAGCAGCAGAGAATGTTCAGACAGCCACCATTTTCCCCATCTAAGCAAAATCAAAGTATTTTGGATATTCTGCAGTGCACTCTATGCAAACCTATACAAAAGTCGGTCTCACTGAGTTCAAAGGGGTTTTTTTCACAGATTTTCCCTTGAGCTTAGGATAAAATGAGGAACAATTCATACCAAAATCAAATACATCAAAGAGCCCTTGGAATGCAGGATCTGATTCAGTTTGCTCCAGAATCTCTTGGATAGCTTCCTCAGTCATGTGAATTTCACCCTGCTAAAACAAGGTATATAAACATAATTACAAATTCTGTCAGTTTGTACGGCAAGACTTTAACTTGGAAATGTAATCTGAAAGTCAACACAAGAAATATGATCTACTGCAAGCCTTTTTGAATCTGACTTCTGCCTTCTTACACTTTAGTATGGAGAGTGTGTGCTTTTAGATCTCTCTCTGCTTGTGTGCCAGGAGAGATATAGTGAATGAGTTTTTCCCTCTCATAAAACCTTAGAAGAGATGGGTGTGGAGAATAGCTCAGACCCAGTTCTTGATTATTAAAAATCTGTTCTTTCTTATTATTGTAAATAAACCTTTTGTGATTTTTTAAGATTGGACTCTGCATATTTGCCTCCTAAGATCTGAATTCTTTACAGCCACATCACACGGCACTACACACTTGCTCGCTAATGAGCTGATGCTCAACTTTTATATCCTGTTTGAGTTTCTGGATGCTCTGCTATATTTAGGGTACCTTTCCATAACACTTATTACTGGATTTTCTTAGCAAGACCTGCCTTTATCTTCCTCCTGAGGCTGAGAGAGTGTGACTTGCACAAGGTGACCCAGTAGTTTTCCATGGCTAACCAAGGATTTGAACCCATCTCCAATCATAGTCCAATCTTAGCCCACTACACCACACTGCCTTCTCCCCCACATACCAAGCGTCCAACATATTTTAGATATCATAAGTTAGATTATATCAGGCTTTGAAAGTTTACCTGGAGGTTAAGGAATTCATCAATTGAAGACTCTTGTATTGCTGGGCCACTCTCTGCTTGCTTCACAACCTGAGAAATATTACCATCACTGAAAAAAAAATTATAGATATTTAGCTTGTTTCAGAAATTTTCTAGGAATTTGAAAAGGTGTAAAGTAAAATATGTTACCTGCCCAAGAATTTGTTAATATTTTCAGCAAGCTTCTCCTGGAGACATTTGTTGCTTAGGATTTTCTCTCTGGCATTTTCAATAATCATTTGCTAGAAAATGCATTTAAAATGGTTCAAAGTTGTGTTTTTGTAATAACCAAAACAGAAATATTAATTTTGAGGACTTCTATTTCTGTAGCAGTTCATAATCACATGTTAGACAGCAATATTATAAACATTAGACAGCAATATTATAAACATTGCCTTACGTGGCTCACACGGAAGTACCATATATACTGGAGTATAAGAGAACATGACTATAAGCTGAGGCACCTAATTTTGCCACAAAAAACTGGTAAAATGTATTGACAGGATGGATGGCCATTTGTCAGGGGTGATTTGAATGCAATATTCCTGCTTCTTGGCAGGGGGTTGGACTGGATGGCCCATGAGGTCTCTTCCAACTCTTTGATTCTATGATTCTATGACTCGAGTATAAGCCAAGGGTGGGAAATGCAGCAGTTACTGGTAAATTTCAAAATAAAAACAGATACCAATAAAATTACATTAATTGAGGCATCAGTAAGTTGTTTTTGAATATTTACATAAAACTGTAATTTAAGATAAGACTGTCCAACAAACCGTTATTCTAACCTTCTAAATGTGCTTACGTAGCCTTCCAATAATAATAGAGTAAAATAATGTCAATGTAAAAATAATAATAATAAAGTAAAAGAATAAATGTAATAACAATACAGAAAAATAATAAATGTAAAAATAGAGTAAAATAATATAAATGTAATAATAATAATAATAATAATAAGCAAAATAAGAAATGCAATAATAATAGAGTAAAATACAAAATAGGGTAGTAGTAGTAGTAGTAGTAGTAATAATAATAATGTAACATTACGAAATCCAGCATATATATCTCATTTGCTGTGACATACTGTGTTTTTGTGTGAGTAAAATAATAAATGTAATAATAATAAAAATAGAATAAAATAATAAAAGTAATAATAATAACAGAGTAAAATAATAAATAATTTTGACTCGAGTATAAGCCATGGGGGGGGGGGGAGCCTAAAAAAGGGCTGAAAAACTCAGCTTATACTTGAGTATATGGTAATCCTTCCAGTCAGAGTTTAAGAATATAATTAGTCTTATACCTTCAAATAAACCTAAAAGGAGAATACATAAGAGCTACTTCCTGCCAATGGTAGTTTTTAAGTAAAGTAACTGGAGGATGAATTACTTCTGGTAAAATTCCAACTACACTCATTTTACAGGTTAACTTTATATTGACAAGAAACGCATATCCAGGATTTTGCTACATAAAAGCCAGTATTCCGTGGCATTCTCACAATGAGAGATCGTGGCAATTTCTGAGTATTGTCACCTTCTTAATTGTTAAAGGTCCTATCAAATTACAACTCACAGGGTCCCATAGTATTGGCATGCTGCCACAGAAGCGCATAGACCTCATCACAGAAATTAAATTATTCACATATGCATTTTTCATACCAATATTTTTTCATATCAATGTACAAAAATGAGATGATGTGCAAAAATGCAAAAATATTAAAAAGGGACAAAAAATAAAAGAGGTGGAAAATATTCTACAGTTTTTTAGAAAACATCTTACAGGAAGGCCGCCATCCATAAGTTCGAGCTGCTCACTTTCCTCTTCCATGGGTGAGCTTTCTTCTTCTGGTGTGAGGGAATCCTGTGAGTCGCAGTTAGATGACTGTGATTCAGATGACACTAAAGTTTTTTTCTTCTGGGAATCACTGAAATATTTTATATTTTTAAAGGAAAAGAAATATATGACTTCAGTTGTCACAGCTCTACTTCACACAATCTATTCATGTCTTTTACAGTACGCATTCTATAACAGCAATATCTTTCAAATTAGAGGGCAATTACAAGACCAATGGGAAAAAATGACACTAAGGAGTGGAGTAAGGGAATAAAATCAATCTAGTGTTGTAAAGAAATGATCCCAGGGTACTTCCTTGTAGAGCAGACTATACTTACTTTTTCCTTTTTACAGGAGACATCACAGCTGAAGGAAGCTTCCGTTCTTGAAAGGTAGAAACCAAGTTCAGAGAATCTGCTTGAAAAAGAAGAACTATGTAACACACCTACTATTTCTACAAGGTTCTCAAGATATAAACAATGGTCCTCCTATTATCATAGCAAAGACAATGATAAAAAAAGAACTTGTTGCACCCCAGCCAGAATTCACCTTGCACTCAACACCAGACGGGAATCCAAAAGTAATAGTAAAACAGTTAATTGAGAAAAACACATATAAAATCCAAAACTCCCAAGACCGTAAGCTAAAACATGAACTCAGGATCCTCACTGTTATACAACATTGCCTGATCTGACTCTAAGAAAAACAATATTTTGATTAAAGGACCACAGGACATGAAATCATAGCATGAAATCATGCCTTTGGCATTTGCTCTGATGCTTCAAGAAGAAGCAAAGACCACCAGCATTGAAGCAATGGTCCTCTGCCATGAACTCCGCTGGACCGGCCACGTTGTCCGGATGCCTGACCACCATCTCCTAAAGCAGTTGCTCTACTCCGAACTCAAGAACGGAAAACGGAATGTTGGTGGACAGGAAAAGAGATTTAAAGATGGCCTCAAAGCCAACCTTAAAAACTCTGGCATAGACACTGAGAACTGGGAAGCCCTGGCCCTTGAGCGCTCCAGCTGGAGGTCAGCTGTGACCTGCAGTGCTGCAGAATTTGAAGAGGCACGAATGGAGGGTGAAAGAGAGAAACGTGCCAAGAGGAAGGCACGTCAAGCCAACCCAGACGGGGACCGCCTTCCACCTGGAAACCAATGCCCTCACCGCGGAAGAAGATGCAGATCAAGAATAGGGCTCCACAACTACCTACAGACACACAAGAATTCTGATCATGGAAGACTATCCTGCTCGGCCAACGAGGGATCGCCTAAGTAAGATGCTTCAAGGACTTCTCATGAAGTTGTTGTGACCTCTGGAGTTTCACTCCCTCCTCCCTAAAATTGAGTTTCAAACTCCTGACATAAATTACTGGTGTGTTCTCAGGGGAAACTTCCCTCTCATGAGAAATTTCACTCTCTTGCCATTCCTTATCTTGCTTTGCTAAGGGACAATTAGAGCAAAGGATCTCCCTATCGTCTGTTGCCAGTTGGCTCAGCTCAGAAGTTATTTCTCTCTCCGACCCCTCTTCACAGGCAGAACCCTGCTCTAAAATCTCCACATGAACTCTTTCTTCTCAAAAACAAATTAGTAATTTGCAAAATATGTTCTGCTTTCAATGGAAACAGTGTTCCTACTCTTCCCACATTTTAGTAAAAGAAAACAAATCTCATTAGTGATGCTCAATGACAGCCATGTGAATTTCTTGCAATTTTCAATTTTTTTAAAAAAGTATTATTTAAAAGTTTAAACTTACCATTAACATGGCTTTCCTGAACCTGGACCTGATGTGTAAATGAAGAACCCATTCTAGTTTGAGCCAAACTTGGAGTTACAACTGATTTAAGAATAACTTGTGTGGCTGTCATTGGAGTAGAACTCACTGGTCCTGGAGCAACAGGTGTCACCCCTACATTTGATGACGTCTGCTGAAGACACTTCTGCTTTTTCATATCTGCAATTGCACATCTTGTGCGGCCTAAAAGAAGGACATTTATTATGAAATTAGCCAAGAGCTTATCTAAAGAGGCAGCTAGGTCACCTAAGATCTATCATTATTGTGCTGAGAGACAACTGAGAAGCTGAAATAAATTAACTGTTGCCTCATTCTTCAAGTAATTTTGAGCTAAGAAATGTAACTGACTACCTACTGATTTTATTATAACAAAATCAATCCGAAAGGTAAAGAAAATGTTAAAGTTACCTGCTAACTTAATGATACTTGGTGCTTGTTAAGTATATTTACATCAAGAACCGGTGATCGGTTAAAAAAAACTCAACGGTACAATTGCTCCTCTCCACCCCACATAAATACATATTAACAGTGGAAAACCACATGGTCCCCTAGATATTTGGAATCGTAGCTCCCATAGTTCTTTGCCATTGACCATTTTCAATACAAGCTCATGAGAGTTCCAGATCAAGGGCTCCTCAGCTACACAGACTACAGTTTATATTCACTTCTGTTACATAATTCATTGGTGAGGTTTTGTGGAGATATCACATCACATTAAAGCTGTCACCCTAAATCCATAGTTTAGCTTCCCTTAGTTTAAGGCCAGAGGGACCATATTCCAAGTAAATACTAAGCCCTTGAGTGCTGAATTCAGATCACAACATATAGACGACTTCTGATACATACTTCGTTGATGAGCAGCAAATCCACTAGACATCTGCATGCTCCTATGAAAAATAAATAAATCACCAGTTCAAATTAGAATACATCACACTACACATATAGACTACTGTGCAGTTGCACCCAAGCTGCTTTATATGTCTTTTTAGCATTAATGTGTACTAACTTTCTTGGACACATTGGGGGATGCTGGTTTGCCTTTCTGTTTGAGCAAGGAACCCCACAGAATCAATGTCCACATGACTGCTTTAGAGAAACGGTTACTATTTATTAATTGGTCTTGGGTCTGTCTCTACCCAGGCACTGTCTTGATTTCCCCACAACAAAGTCGATACTTAAAATTTGAAGGGTAACTGATTGTTCATGAAATAACTGCTAGTGGATGATTCCGTTGATGAAGGACAGATGAAAGTTTCCCTTGCTTACTTTTTCTAGTAAATGGGCCTCTGGGGCACCCAATGCCCAAGGTGATCAGGCTGGAGGCTGAGAGAGGAGGTCTCTCCTATTGAGGCCTGGCACCTTGTTGAAGGTGCTGGAAACTCCACAGGCTGCCACTGACCAGCAGTAGATTAGTATAGCTGAATGAGTTCTCAGAATGGTAGTGGTTATTGGCTTGAAATGACCTGTTCAAGCTTGGATCTCACTGTGATCAACTATAGACATATCTTGCTTCCAAGATTCCCTGGTAGTAATAACCTTAGTCTAAAATGGCCCCCTTTCCTCAGGCAAAGGAGTGGGGCCAAACTTATTCATACAACCAAAGAATGGTTTTCTTAAACTCCACCTTCAGAAAATGAACATGAAAATGACTACTCTCAAGCTGTGGGTGAGACAGCCTCACGAATGAGCTGAGATCGATACACTCCCTGGTCAAAATTGCAAGCAGGAATTTTGCTATATAGATGAATAAAGAAGCATGTTCGCAGCCATCACAACTACCTAGTTGGGTTTCAAATGAACTAGTTAGATTATAACGATATAGCCCTCTAGTCCCTCTTCAGATCATATACATGTTATAGTAATTTATACATTGGGTGAAACAAATATAGAAAAAATGAATTAATGATCAATAATGAATACCAATGCATAATTTTGTCACTGATTTTGTTTTGTAATTTTGACGTGTTTTAACAACTGTTTATTTAATGTTTTGTTTTAATGAATTTGTTGATGGTTCTTATCATGATGATGGCACCGAATGGTGTTTGCTGTGAGGTCACCCTTTGGGGGTGAGAAGGGTGGGGTACAAGTATATGAAATAAATAAAATAAATTCCTTTGGAAAGAGTCCTTTCCAATACTGCATACTGTATCATTAAGATCAGTTTGCAGTCATTAAAGTTCACATTTTCATACATACAGTATGTAGTTTGTGGAAATCTGAAGCAGTTACAACTGCACTGGATAAAACCATTAGGCGCTTCTCTTACTCCCTCCGATCTGACAAATCTTCAAACTCAATTTTACAAAATTTGGCACATTAGGGACTTTAGTCCAGCTAACCTTAAATTATATAAAACTTCACTACAATTAGCACAGAAATTTAAAGACTGTGAAGAAACTCTAAATGCAAGCAGACTATTTATGAAACGTGGGCTACGATTTGAATTACCTGATTTGCGAAAGTGTGTAGTCTAACTTTTTCCATAAGGATGACATCATTGCTGGGACATCGTTTGTTGCTTCTTTTAAAAGAAAAAAAATTAGACTAAAATGAGTATCACATTTTAAAAATAATTTTTAATTGAAAGTCCTCTAATCCAATCACACAACTAACCATGAAATATAGAAGTCTTTGAAGAAATGGGCCAATCTTCTTCGGAAATAGACTTTACTAATTTCAGTAGAAGTTATTTCCTATCACCTATATTATTTACAGGGTATTTTGTTTTTCAGACTTTTAATATAACTCTGTATTCTAGCTTTTAGCATAAACTCTAATGATTTTAATGTATAATGCTTTTATGAGACTGTAGCCCACTCTTGGAGCCCTTGGTGGTGTAGCGGGTTAAATCGCTGAGCTGCTGAACTGGCTGACTGAAAAGTTGAAGGTTCGAATCTGGAGAGCGGGGTGAGCTCCCGCTTTTAGTCCCCACTTCTGCCAACCTTAGCAGTTCGAAGATATGCAAATGTTAGTAGATCAATAGGTACTGCTTCTGTGGAAAGGTAACAGTGCTCCATGCCATCATGCTGGCCACATAACATCGGAGGTGTCTACAGACAATGCTGACTCAATGGTTTAGAAATGTAGATGAACACCACCCCCCAGAGTCAGGCATGAAAAGACTTAATATCAGGGGGAAACCTTTACCTACAGAATTATCAACAGACATAATATTTCTCAAATTTAAACTTTTGTTCTATTCAGAATCTTTTGGTCATTTTATTAACAGGACAATTTTACACCAACCTGTTGCTTTCAGATAACAATTCCATTGTGACCTAGAATGTTGCCAATTTTTGTGCTCAGCACTTAAAATCTGCCAGGTGATGACTGGTGCCAAAAGTTAGCACTCTAACTTTAGAAAAAATTGAAACTATAGATATTTAGTACTCCCACCCCCTAGTCCCCTATGCCTGTGCCTGACAGTACTCCTCCCTCTGTATGCTCCCTCATACTGAATGCTCCTACCCATCCCTCCAGATTCTCTTCCCTTTTCATTTCATTTCATAGTATTTTGTGTTTAGCCTTTTAATATACTTTGATATTCTAACTTTTAGCCTAGACTCTAATGATTTTAATGCTTTTATGAGACTCCACTCTCCTTATGCTGGTCTATGAACATAATATAGATTTGTTTATTAACTGTTTTCAATTTCAGATATTGTAAACAGCCTCAAGGGTACTAGCAGTTGAATTATATAGTAATGCAATGAATAATGTAAGTACTCTTAATAGGCCTAGCTTTCTTGCATACTAAATATATTCTTCTTGTAACATCCTAAAATTATAGTCTAAAAATCTGAATGTCCACAATCATCAGCAGCACTTGCTTAAAATAGAATTAAAAGTACATAATAATGTGCATCCTGTGAATATATGTGCCTTCAAGTCACCTGTCGAATTATGAAGGTTTTGCCATCTCCTTCAGTAGAAAGAAAGCCTATAGCACCTGGTGTTTCTTGATGGTTTCTCATCCAAGAACCAGAATGTAACCTGCTTAGCATCTAAGGTGTAGGTAAATATCATCTAGGATATTTAGCCCAGTTTAATGTGTTTTACAGGTGCCAAATACTGATCTACAATCTAGATGGACAGTAATGTTTCATTTAAACAAATTTGAGTTGTTTCATTTTGACCGTAATAAAATCTGTTGTATTAAAAAAATCTAAACTCAGTGTAATATAACAGAAACTTGGTAGATAACAGTAAATATTTCTCTATCCCATCTCATGCACTCTGCAACATCTGAAGCCCTGCTTAAGTGTCTTTACTAACTAGCTGGGTCTTTTTCACTGGCATAGACACTGAAGAATAGTTTCCTCAAGAACTGATATGTCTCTTTATTCAAATTTACAAATTAAGTAAATTTAATATAACTTTACTTGATTTGTATGTCCCCTCGATACTAGCTAAATGCAAGCAATAAAACTTGTATTTCTTGTATAACCTGTATCTCATAATTATTTTACCACACTTACCTTTTGATTTCATTGCTATATATTCATTCAGAATGGTGATTAAGTTTTTTCCAAAAAGAGACTGAGGAAGAGAAAACAGTGTTAAATCATAGAATACCAAGAAATAATATATTGTGGAAGTCTCGCATATCAAAAGCATAGCAGTCACTTTGAGTCTCATTCGGGAGAGATAAAGTAGGGTATAAATATAATAATAATAATAATAATAATAATAATAATAATATTAAAGACCAATTCTATAGGTACAATAATCAAATGGTGTGGGTGGGAGTGCTTCTTTTAATTCTAAATTCAAATACAAATTATACATGGTTCTTAAAAATATAGCAAGACTCAGAGTCCTATACAAATGGATAACCACTCATCTCATAAATACATACCAGTAGACAAGCTGGGACAAAACCTTCTCCTGTACAGTGTTCTGCATATTCTTTTAAATCTGAACTTTCCAATATAAAGGCCCTACAAGTGGCCAAAAGCCTTTCTTGTTGTAAATAGCCTGAAAGAGACAAAATGTTTTTTTTCCTGTTATCTATATCAAAATGATAAAAGACAAATGATAAAATAATGAAAACCAATACAGCCCATTCACAGAACAAGGTAAAATTTTATAGTAAAATTTCAGAAGTAAACAACATCATAAATACTAATGATGAACAGTAGCAATCTGTATCATTGTTCAGCAGTTGTCAGATAGGTAAATAGGAAGTACCACATAAAAAGAAAGATTGGAATCTTTTTGTAAGCAAGATAAATCTTGTTACACTAAAGCGTTCTAATAAGAACAATTATGAGGAGTTTTTTTTGTATAACGAATAGTTTACTTGTTGCTTCAGAAGATTACTTTTGTGGCACTCTTTTTGAAACATGTATTTTTAAAAGGGTTTGTTAGAAAACAAATTAAAAGTAACACACAACCTGTACTTTTATTCAACTCCAGAAGGGTCGTAATGCTAGTCATCGCAGTTAGAAGAGTTTATCCTATTGCACAATAAGTCACCCACACTTTGGAAAAATGGCCTTCAAGGTGAACTGGCTGAACTAAATTCTTTTTTTGCAAGTGTTAAATATTTTGGAAATAGGAAACCTTCTTAAACCTCCTGTTTAATAATTTGTCTGTATATAATATGCTGTTTTATTTATTGAAGTGTATATGCATTCTTTGGTATGCAGTTTTCCCTAACTCTATGTTCTTGAGGTTGTGGGAGGGGCTGCAGACCATGTGGCCAGATCAGGGACTGTTTAGAACACAGTTTAAAAGTTGACAGTTGAGGGATGACTGTTGACGATGACAGTTGAAATTAGACAGTTATAGAAGAGAGTTGTATAGAGCTGTATAGTGTTGAAGAGACTGATAAAGACTGAAAGTTAAAGACAGAAACTGAAAGGTTTTAAAGTTTAAACTAACATGAAATGTATCTGTATATTTAAATGGACAAAGTTGTGAGTAAAACAAACAAGTTATTTTTAAAGTCTACTTGAATTTTGTCTTCTGAGAGCATGAAATAGAAACAAAAATAATAATAATAAAACTTTATTTGTACCCCGCTACCATCTCCCCAAGGGACTGAGTGCGGCGTACATGAGGCCAAGCCTACAGCACATCAATAAACAAAAAGCAATAACAATAATCAATACAAAACAGTTAAAATAAACTCAAAAACAGAAAATACACAATAAGCAATAAACAATATTTATTTATTTATTTATTTGCTGGAGTCTTTTTATGGCCTCATAAATTAGTTAATTTAGCCTCCCCACACTTTAAGGTGGTACCTAATTTTCCTACTTGACAGATGCAACTGTCTTTCGGGTTACAAAGGTCGACAACAGGCTACACAATTGGTTGGAAACCCACTCCAATCCGGGCTGGCTTCAAACTCATGACCTTTTGGTCAGAGTGATCTTAATATCAAAACATACAGTATTTAAAAACCTATGGCCGGGCCAAATGTAATAATTCAAATTTAAAATCAAAAAGTGCTGGGCATGAACAAGGTAAGGCAAATTAAAATAGATATGTAGGGGAGAATAGATGTGTTTCGACAACACTTCTGAATATCTGTGCTTTCTCTCTCTCTATATATATATATATTGTGTATTGGCATATTCTCTGTTCCTAATAGTTCAGAGTCACCTGGAAATCAGTCTAAGTGCTGAAAAACAATTGCCAATTCTTTTAAGAAAAGAAATGGTTACCATTTCTTTTCTTAAAAAATATAAACATTGAGGTCCTCTGGGGGGGCGTCTGGTCCATCCTTCCAGAAACCAACTGGCGACCATCACCCAGAGGACCTTTTCATCGGCACCCAAAGACTGTGAAACAACCTGCAGAAGAGGTCTGACAGCTAGATCAGCTGTTAGAATTTAAATCACAACTGAAGACCTATCTTTTCTGACAGGCCTACCCAGTTGGTTTTAAACTGTAAATTTTAACCTTACATTTTATTAGTATTGGTATCTTTGTTTTGTTCATTTTAATACATGTATTTTAATAGTACTACATTGTATCTATGTGTTTTAACAATGTTGTTTACCTGCCGAATAGCCATGAGGAGAGGTGGGTACATTTTTTTAATTATTAAATACGAATCCTCAGTGGCTAGGACATTCGTGCTTGCTAGCTCATAACTGCTGAATGAAATTCCAGCTTTGCACTTAACATTTCCTGGATTTCTAACAAAGATTAGGACTATATCGTATATCTCTTGTCAAAAGAAACAACTGTCACCAATCAAAGCTACTGTTTCTACACAATACAAATTAACATACAACTCTGATCATTATTGCAAAAAAAGGAATAGGAAGTATCCGTGTGACGCTTAAAGAAAGGCTAAAATCCACAAATATCAATGTTCTATACTAAGCCTGACAATTAGGTTCAGACCACTTTAAATCAGGCATGGAAAAATGTTGGCCCTCCTGGTGGGCCAGAGTTTGCTCATACATGCTTTAAAACACACTACCACAAATATTGTGTATAAATTCACTTAGGGGCTGTGTGTATATTGTAATTAATTTTGTTTTTAGATTCCAAGATATCTACAAAAACATTCCAAAACCTAACATGCCTCTGGCAGCCGGACATGTTGTGCAAGAAGAGATATTCAACTGACACACCCAGTGAGACTAAAATGGAGAAAGGAGCTACATCTTATATAATACTAACAGTATAATGTACTGGTAGTGTATCATATCAAAAAAACCAAGATTATGGCAACAAGAATGATTGACAACTGGGAAATAGAGGGAGAAAACGTGGAGGCAGTGAATTTGTATTTCTAGGTGCAAAGATTACTGCAGATGCAGACTGCAGCCAGGAAATCAGGAGACGCTTACTTCTTGTGAGGAGAGCAATGACCAATCTTGATACAATAGTGAAGAGTAGGGGCATCACACTGGCAACAAAGATCTGCATAGTTAAAGCAATGATATTTCCCGTAGTCACCTACGGATGTGAGAGCTGGACCATAAGGAAGGCTGAGCAAAGGATGATAGATGCTTTTGAACTGTGGTGTTGGAGGAACCTTCTGAGAGTCCCTTGGACTGCGAGAAGATCCCACCAGTCCATACTTCAGGAAATAAAGCCTCACTGCCCATTGGAGGGAAGAATAGTAGAGGCCAAGATGAAGTACTTTGGCCACATCATGAGAAGAAAGGAAAGCTTAGAGAAGACAATGATGTTGGGGAAATGGAAGGAAAAGGGGCCGACCAAGGGCAAAATGGATGGATGGTATCCTTGAAGTGACTGGATTAACCTTGAAGGACCTGGGGGTGGTGACGACCGACAGGGAGCTCTGGCATGGGCTGGTCCATGAAGTCACAAAGAGTCAGAAACGACTAAACGAATGAACAACAACAACACAAAGAAAGAGGCAAATCCACAAGAAAGGCTAGAAGAGGCAGGGCATGGGTTATCTGAGTCCAAACTCAGATGTCAGATTTTCTGTCTTAATATTCAGGGATATAGGGTAGTGTGGAAGGGCCCTCAGATAACCCAGGGCCCTTCCACCCAGCCATATAACCCAGGCTATCAAGGCGGAAAATCCCACAGTATTTGCTTTGAACTGTGGCCTCAACAAACCCGGCTTTATTAAATCCTTATTATCTGCTTAATAAAGTGGTGCAGTGGGTTAAACCTCTGTGCCGGCAGGACTGAAGGCCGACAGGTCGCAGGTTCGAATCCGGGGTGAGGCGGATGAGCTCCCTCTATCAGCTCCAGCTCCTCATGCGGGGACATGAGAGAAGCCTCCCACAAGGATGATAAAAACATCAATTCATCCGGGCGTCCCCTGGGCAACGTCCTTACAGACGGCCAATTCTCTCACACCAGAAGCGACTTGGAGTTCCTCAAGTTGCTCTTGACACGACAAAAAAAAACTGCTTTGAACTGGATTATATGACAGTGTAGACTCATATAACCCAGTTCAAAGCAGATAATGTGGATTATCTGATTTAATAATCTGGATTATGTGGCAGTGAAGAAGGGCTCTGTGTTACCTGAGTCCACACTGCCACATATTCCAGTTCAAAGCTTTGAACTGTGGCCCCACCTATACTGCCTTATTAACTGCTTTGAACTGGATTATATGACAGTGTAGACTCATATAACCCAGTTCAAAGCAGATAATGTGGATTATCTGATTTAATAATCTGGATTGTGTGGCAGTGAAGAAGGGCCCTGGGTTACCTGATTCCACACTCCCACATATTCCAGTTCAAAGCAGATAATGCGGGCTTTTATTCAGCTTTGTGGAAGGGTCCTCAGATAACCCAGTTCAGAGCAGATATTGTGGGACAGTCTGCCTTGATATTCCGGATTATATATCTGTGTGGCAGGGCCTTTGATTGCCTGGCCGCCGCAGTCTGAAGCTCAGCTCGAACCGCATTAGATAGCCAGTGTAGATGGGCCCAGAACCGCTCCCTTACCGAGGACCAACCGGGCGACGTCTGACGGCAGCAACATGGCGAGGAGGAAGGGGAAAAGGAAGTCCCCCTCCTCCTCAAACGGGGGCGGAAACAACCAACACTTTCCCTTTCCCGGCTCGTTCTGGGCCCGGCAATTGAGAAAAAGGCGCCCAAAATAGTCTTCAGTTACTTCAGCTTCCTCCTCCTCCTCCGCCCAATGACTTCCGGGAGCAGAAACGACAACAATCAGGATTCCGCTTCCGGTGTGGGCGGAGCCAGGAGGGAAACGCGGGAAAGAGGGAGAGGCCACGCCCCCTTCGCTCCCCTTCTGACTCCCCTCCCAGGCGGAAGGCGGCGCGCGCACCTCACGTCGAACGTGGAGCCGGGAAAAGAAGCCTCAGGGCGTGGGTTTCCTTCTCAGGCCAGGTTCCCTCTCAGGTCAGTCAGAAGGAAGGCACCCTGGCCCCACTTTCTTCACTGCCAGGCATGGGCCAACTTGGGCCCTCCAGGTGATTTGGACTCCAACTCCCACAATTCCCTAGCCTTGAGCCATGGCAGTGAATTAAATGGGGCGTCCCAACTGCATTAAGGCTGTGGAATCCTGGGATTTATAGTTTGGTGAGGCCTTGCAAGCAGAGGCCTTGCGAATCTTTATTTTGTATACCCTGTCACCATCTCTCCAAAAGGGACTCATGTGCACTTGCTTCGCTCCTGATACGATAAATAAATCATATTATATTATTATATTGTACTATATTATTACACCACAATAGGATACACAACCAGTACATTATACTGTTAGTATTATATAACATATTGTACCATATCATGTTGTTCATTCGTTCAGTCGTCTCCAACTCTTCGTGACCTCATGGACCAGCCCACGCCAGAGCTCCCTGTCGGCCGTCACCACCCCCAGCTCCCTCAAGGTCAGTCCAGTCACTTCAAGGATGCCATCCATCCATCTTGCCCTTGGTCGGCCCCTCTTCCTTTTGCCTTCCACTTTCCCCAGCATAATTGTCTTCTCTAGGCTTTGCTGTCGCCTCATGATGTGGCCAAAGTACTTCAACTTTGTCTCTAGTATCCTTCCCTCCAGTGAGCAGTCGGGCTTTATTTCCTGGAGGATGGACTGGTTGGATCTTCTCGCAGTCCAAGGCACTCTCAGAACTTTCCTCCAACACCACAGTTCAAAAGCATCGATCTTCCTTCGCTCAGCCTTCCCTAAGGTCGAGCTCTCACATCCGTAGGTTACTACAGGGAATACCATGGCTTTGACTAGGCGGATCTTTGTTGCCAGTCTGATGTCTCTACTCTTTACTATTTTATCGAGATTGGACATTGCTCTCCTCCCAAGAAGTAAGCGTCTTCTGATTTCATGGCCACAGTCTGCATCTGCAGTAATCTTTGCGCCTAGAAATACAAAGTCTGTCACGGCCTCCACGTTTTCTCCCTCTATTTTCCAGTTGTCAGTCATTCTTGTTGCCATAATCTTGGTTTTTTTGATATGATACACTACCAGTACATTATACTGTTAGTATTATATAATAATACTAACAGTATAATGTTATATTATAATTGTGCGAAAGCCCTTCCAGACACCGCAGACGCCTGAGCCTCAAGCGTAAGCGATGAATCCAGGAGGACTCCCAAACTGCGGAACTGTGACTTCAGGGGGAGTGTAACCCCGTCCAACACAGGTTACCACCCTATACCCTGGTCAGGTTTACGATCGACCAGGAGGACCTCTGTCTTGTCGGGATTGATCTTCATCTTGTTTCTCCTCATCCAGACAGCCACAGCGGCCAGGCACTCGTCCAGCCCCCGAGAGGCCTCCTTGGAATTGGGTGGAAATGAGTAGTAGAGTTGTGTGTCATCTGCATAGAGGTGGCACCTAATACACTACCAGTACATGATACTGTTAGTATTATATAATATATTGTACCATATCATAAGTTGTAGTATATACAATATACAATATATTACAACATTGTTAGTATTACACCAGCACCATTACATTACAGTGTTATTATTTCTATATAGTAATATAATATAACAACAACAACAACAATAAAACTTTATATGTCACCTTTCTCCTCGAGGGGACTCGGAGTGAATTACAGCATATATGCAAACGCAAACACAGGGAAACATTCAATGACTTGATCCAATGAGGCAAAGGCTTCCCCTTTCATATCCGGCTTTTGGAGGTGGTACTCAACTCTGGCTCTGAGGGAGCTGTTAATCGCCATTTCCAAGCCAAGGAGCCTGTGTTGTCTGTACACACCTCCTGGTGATTTGGCTGGCATGACTGCTTGGAATGCTTGTTTGCCTTCACGCCAAGGCGGTAGCTATTGATCTACTCCCATTTGCATGTTTTGTACTTAACATTTGCACTTAACATGTTTCCAACTGCTAGGTTGTCAGGAACTAGGACTAACATCAGGAGCTCACTCCCATCCTGCAGATTCGAACTGCTAACCTTCAGGTCAGTGGTTCAGCAGCACAAGGGTTTAACCCATTGTGCCACCACAACCTGATGATACTGACTGATCTAAATTATCTAGTTCTTATGTTCTTTTGTAAAATACCAATACTTCCATTCTTAGGTCTGGACTGTGAATATGCTCCCAACTTGAGTGAACCATGAATCTTGCACTCCATGACCTATTGACTTGCTGCCGTCAACTTGACAGTGACAAGGCCACAGAACGTAAGGTGATTAGAACCCTTTGGTCTCCCATCGTATAGCAATATAATAGAATCTTTTCATTGGAAAAAAAATATAGTAATGCTTTTCTGTTTCTGCACTACTATTTTAGAAGGAAATTGAAAAGTTCAAACGTCTTCTCCGTAACTCTGAAACAATTCAGCAATTGGACCAGAACTCTGATTCTAAACATGGAAAGCAGCTTAACTGGGATACTGTATTCAGGTAATATGTTATACTTGGTTAACCGTCAGATTGCAAGTATGAATTGTTTCAAACGTTCCATTTCAATGATGAGAAAAACTTCAAAATATATTTTGTTTCAGGAAGATGGGTCGTGAACTCGTTTTGCAGAGAGAATCATGGCAACTGTAGTTTTACAAGGTTTCTAGCTTTTTCTGCCAAAGAATGCTGGTGTCTCACAAAACTTCAAAGCCCAGGATTCCATAGCATGGAATCCTGGGCTTTGAAGTTTTGGTAGTTGAAGTGGTGTCAAACTGCATTAATTCTATTGTATGGATACACCCTGGGATGATGGCTAAAGTTTTTCCTAGGGCCATAGAGTGAGCCTGTTGTCTTTCAGGTGCCAAGTCTTCATCCTCCTAGACCCCAATAATCACTATTTTTATCTTATATTTGTCGATTACACAGTTGTAGTTGTCACTTTGCTAAAACTGTTATTAATTCTGCCATTTTTGAACTAGAAGCCATGTTATGGGGACAGGAATATAATTATTTACAGGTTGAAATTACACAGTCCAAACAAACATTTTTTTCTCGGTATCTTGGTTTTTAGGCCTGTTCCTGGGGGTATTTGGGGCACTAATTCAGAAAATTGCATTGGGTAGACCACATCAACTGGTTGTCCTGGTTTTATATGGGTGGGCAGATGGCAACTGATACATGGCATATGTTCTGTATTTCAATAACTAGAGATGAGGGGAAACTGGCTCCATGTTTGGAATCAGCAGGTGAGATATACACAGAAACAGGGCTAACATTTGAGGCACCAAAATGTGTGTTGGTTGGTATTATTACATAGTTATTCTGTATAATGGAGAAGAGATTAAATTTGACTATAGGACTTTCTGGTTTGGTCTCTTAGCAGTTGTGGCATTTGATTTCTGGGATTGAAGTCTCAGGAAGGAAAAACTGTCTCATTATGTTACTCTTGCTTGTTTATGTTCAGGGGCTGCTTGACCACCTCTTCTTCCATCCACCAGCTGTTATTGCTCTTATTGTTTCTTACAGTTGCCCAATTCCCTTTTCCCTTTTGTCCACATATCAGAACACAGCAACTGTGCTGTGTTTCTCCTCCATACTGTCTTGAGAGTGGGAACATGTGTGAATTGGTGCAGATTGACCTGGGCAATTGTATTTGTTTGAATCATAAGCTGGTAGGACATTGCAGGCTAAATGTGAACAAGAAGAATTTGGTAGTAATGCGCAAAAACTTGATTTACAGAGAAAAGAAAATGTTGTTGCTCATCAAAGTATTTTTTTTTCAAGATTTTTGCAGAAGTATGTTCAGAAAGAAACCGAAAGTGCCAGGCATGCAAAGCCAAATGTGTCTTCATCAACACAAGCAACAAGACAGAAAAAGATGCAGGAAACCAGCTGTTTGGTCAAATATTTCATCAGATGTGCCAATAAAAGTGAGTAGTTTTATGTAAACACGGACAGGAATATAATTATTTTTGCTGAGATTCAGCTTAGAAATTCAAACGTATAAAAAGTGTCCTCATAAAATATTGTAAGCGTGGTTTGTATTTCTGTGTGCCTGAAACTACTTATTGTGTACATTTTAGAAATAATTTAGAGACTGAAAGTTAAAAAAAAACCCACATTGATTCCCTTGCCTTTGGATATTTTGGAGGCTTATTCCATTATAATGTTTTTTCTTCCCGGAACACTATTTTTGAAATTAGTTAGTTTTGAATTATGAAATCCATATGGGTTTTGCATAAAAGTGTGTAGGAATCTAGTTTGGGATTTTTCTGCACATTGAATGTGTATGTTCTACATTATAATTTGTTGGATAGTGTCAGGCTCCTACGCCTAGAATCTGCCATATATAAAAAATGTGTTGCCTTTGACTGCTAAACCTTAACAAAATTATATTTTATGCCTTGAATATAATGAATATAATGTAATGTAATTATTAGAAACTATTTCAGTATATTGTGTATAATTTATCACACATTGACTCATGTGAATTAGAGTAGGCAGATGTATATAATAGTTACTGGTGCTAATTAGTACCAAGAAGATAAGGGAGGAGAACCTTGGAGTATGAAGCACTGGGATGCAAAGTTATTCTCATGTGAACTGATTTTTGGGTAGTTGATGTATTGTTTACATTTATTAGCCAATTACAAGAACATGTTGAAAAGGGTAACAGATGGGTCTTATAGGCCAATGAAACGAATGCACAAAATGTTAGAATGCTAAGCATATATAAAGTATGTGCCTGTAGCTAGCCTCCATCCTGAGAGCAATAATGTGTTTCACCTGTATTATGCTTTTTAATGAAGTT